GGGAAAATCGAATGAACCCTTGACGAATGGACTTGATAACAATACTATTGACGAGTATCGCTAGATATCAAGGCATGCAGAAATATGCCACGAACCGAAGCTTCCAGAATAAAGATTTCGGTTACTTTTTTGTATCCCACCATTTTTTTCTTGGATTTGCGGAATCGCACCACATCAACGTGTATGATTCTGAAGCCATTTTGGAATTGTTCTAATGACTCCGTGTCTACCTTGGTTCTGAAATACATAGATCTTATGGTATGGAAACGTATCTCCACCTTTAGTCGTCGTTGAACACTCAGTGATAAAACCACCAAAGAATCGACACAACCAACAAATGTGACAACGTGTTAGTTTGAGAGCAAAACTTAAGATCCTTAACAATCATCGTAACAGATTTGAAATCGAAACCAATTGTTTGAACCATTATCCAATGAGAAAGATATTCGACTATAGTTAGATTATTGAAAATGTTCCATTTAGTTTCAAACCTTTGATCGCAAGCTACATTCATATTTTTGCGCTTCCGTATCTGTTTGCTTCTTTCGTTAAAATTAAATGTCGGTGCCCAGATAATAGAACTTCAGAATTTTTCAAACAAGCGAAACTGGGGGAACATGTACAACACGGCTAGTGAGTTACCTAGTGAGTTACCTTTTTGGGCATCATTACTTATCTGGAGAAATGATACTGTACTTTAATGTTTACTTCGAAGAAATGCGTTAATATTTTTTTTTAGAAAATACGGGAAAGACTGAACGGATGTTTGTCAGCTATATGTACGATCATCGAAACTCAGATTAAGATCCATAAACTGCAATTGCACCTTATCCACAGATCGAAAAATCTCCATCGATGCCTTCTCAAAAGCGAATTAGAATTTTAGAAAGGTTCGACGGCGAATCAGACTGAGGGAACTATCGTCAAATGAAGAGTTATAATTATGGAGTCAATACTATAAAACATTCAAACATCACCATTCAGCAGAATCAAATTCTTATAAAGAGGATTTTAGTCTTGTGCTTTCCGCTAAGAATAGTCTTTATTATTTAATTATTTTCAGATATATTTAAATTGTTTTCAACAAACAAAATATACCGTTTTCGCAGCCAATCGCACCTTTTAGGGGGCTTTTAACGGCTTTTTTTTAATTTGAAAATAAACTTTTTTGTTTGTTTCTTTTTAGAATTTACGAGAAAAAATTGCGTTTTTTAAAAAATAATTCACGTGAAAGTCACTTATCCTCCAAAATTTTGGAAATGCCGGTCTAGTATAGTGGTAAGTACGATTCGTTGTGGCCGAATAAACCCAGGTTCGATTCCTGGGACCGGCAAGCTTAATTTTTTCAACATTAATTATGTGAGAAAGGATGTTGTATCTTTTTTTTTTCCCACCATCAACCAACTTTGTTAATCCTTTAAGATTAAAGACTTCTTCTTCTTTTTACATTCATAGGTTATAGTAAGATTATATATTTCAGAAATGGCTCACAAGGAAACATACGAATTTCAACCAATCCGTAAGTAGAAATCATTTCATTGATATATAGTGGGGTTTTCGACGAATCCAACATGGATCTTAGACAGATGACAAGAATTTTATACTAACTCAGGTTTCTATAGCATCAACTCAAGAATTAGATGACAACAACGTCCCATTCTTCCATAGAGATAAATGTGCCGCTCCTTTAATTGCTTACTACAAGTGTCTTGATAAAGGAACTTCTTTCTGTAGTGTCACAAAGGAAGACTTCTACAAATGTCAATATGTTGCCTTGAAAGAAAGACTTGCAAATCATACTAAACAAACTCAATAAATGTACATATATATCCCCCAAAAAGGATTAACATATTGATAAACCAATGTACATTAGTCTATGAACCAGCATTAGCATGAATCAAAAGAATTTTATTTATTTTTCGGAAAGGATTGGTGGGTATTTGCTTTCCAAATGATTAAGGTGTGGAATTTCTTATAGCAAAATAGAGCATGGTTTTTCATCATCATCCAAGCAGAATGAAACAATAGAATGAATGATGATGTTTTGAGAATATAGAAGAAGCTGAGTTTTATTCTGTCTGTTTGCAATTTCTTATTTCATTTTATTTACGTATTTTTAGCACATTTAATAAACATTCAGAAATCAATTAGAAGAACGACAGAAATGAATTTTGAATCTCACGATTTGAGAGAGATATGCTGAGACGAATAGCAGCAGGTAGTCGTGAAGCATCTAAAATGTTCAAAGCTCTGGTGTATTCACAGCTATTCTTGTATGTAATTTTGGCAACCCATTATTGAGCCAACCAATGTCCTGTATGTAAGGATCTTATAAAATGTAAAATTTCATTGGCTCTCGATTTTTTTCAGTCTTCCTAGAGGGGGAAGAAAAATCCGCAGTTTGGAAAATCAAGAAGCAACAACACTTTCTCCAGAGAAGATATCCATAACATTAAACTAGTTATACCATGGCTGTCACTGAGTTCCCTCCGCTTCGTATGTATCCCCAGTAAGAACACTTATTTTGTTAAATGACGTTGTTACTAACTAAAAACATATCTTAATTAGTTTCCGAAGATGATTTCCAAAAATATGAAGTTCCATTGAAATGGAGAGATAGATGTGCTGCTTATTTTGCACTTTATAGAACATGTCTAATCAGACAATCTTCAAAGTCCATTGATTGTCATCATGATAAACATGCATGGGAAGAATGTGAATATTTGGATTTGAAGAGAAGAAAGCAAGAATTGGAAGAAGTTAAAGAAAAGAGAAGGGCTGAGATTAGAGCTGCTAAAGAAGCAGCAGCTGAAGCATCAGAATAGATTGACTATTAATATTTGCTTCGTTTGTTTGATTCCATGACTGTTTTAATGAGGTTTTTTTTTTTTTTTGAAAGCTTTTGAAGCTAATATTTATATTTCTATCACATTTCCATTTGCATTTTTTATTGATATTCCTTTCTAGACTTTGGGCCCGTTTGGTGGGAGGTGAAAGAGGTCCCGAAGACCCGTTAAACGTTGGACAATGACAATATTATTGGGGGATTTATTAAAGAAAGAAATGGGGTTTCATTTTTAAGGCACAAAGGATGTCAAGATACTTAGTTGGGAGTTGTATCGATATGTATCAAGATTCCAAAATGGTACCCGTACCTAAGGTGTTCATTCTGTTTTTTTATATCCATTGAAGAGAGAGGTTTCCAATTCAATTTGACATGTTTTGTGTTTGTAACATAGATTATTTAAGAAAAAAATCGAAAATATTATAATATTATAATATAATTTAAACCATTGTAGGTAGCATTCGGCTATGTTCCACTCGTGTAACGTCTCTTCAATAAGGAAGAAGTGATACAGAGATTTCTCTAAAGGTAATTTGTGCAATTTATGATTTTTATATTTGAATCCAAATGGTCCAAATACGATCTGCAGTTTTTTAACAAACTTATCTCATAAATAACTGGAATTTCAATTTATCTCCGCTGTCCACACTTTATATAGATTGAGAATTCGATATAAAGCTCTATCTATTGTCGGAGGTTTTAAAATTTTACTATCTGAAGAAAGAAGAAGAAGAAAGAAGAGTAGAATAAATTGTAAATTTTTCAAGAAAAATTCTTTTAAGTAGAACGAAGAGCTTCGCTCACATCGATGGTGTCGAAATATCGTGCCAACATTTACCACGACTGGAGGTAATTTTCAAACCAGCAAAAATCATTTTTCTGGGGGGCAATCTATTTTTTTATTCAATCGAGGGGTGGGAGTGGTCCCTGATAAATTATACCACATTTGCTTTTTAACCCAATTGTGCCACTTCAATAATTGATAAGTCTTAATAAACCAGTATAACTAATTTAGAAATGGCCAAGAAAACAGAAACACTAAAAGTCGCCTCAACTGAACCTGTTGGAATAATCGATGAATCCCCTGAGGTAACTAAAGAATCGTCTGCAAAATCAGAAGATGATAAGGTTCCCGAGATTTCCAAGGAAAACGAAGGTGTTGATGACACCGAAGAAGTCGCTTTAAATGATGACAAGGAAGAAACTTCAAAGCAACCAAGTCCATCAGCTAAGGCTGAAGAAGCTAAACAAGAAGCAACAGAAGAAGAGGAAGGGGAAGCTCCACCACAGCCACCAAGACCTGTTGATCCAATACAACAAATTACTCAAGATTTACAAGATGCCTTTCCAAATATCGAAGAAAAGATCATTACTGCAGTATTGATTGCTTCTCAAGGTAATCCTGATCCAGCATTCAATGCTCTTTTATATATTTCTGATCCATCTTTCAAGCCAGAAATTCCTGCGCCACAAATATCAACCGGTAAATCAGGCCCAACCGGCGCCGTAGCTGCGGGCAAGGGAGCCGCACCACGTCATGAATTAACTGATGATGAATTGTTGGCTAGACAATTACAAAAGGAATTCGAATTAGAAGATGCCAGAAGAAGAAGAAGACATCAAGATAAGAGTAGAAGAACTGATCCAGGTCGTAAACAACAGCGTCCAATTAGACATTCTCAGGAACAAGATCATGATTTTGATGAAGAAAGTCCAGATGAATTTGAACAAATTAAAGAAACTTTTACTCAAGGGTTAGAAGAAGCAAGAACTACTCTTAATGGATGGGTAAGTGGATTAGCTAAGAAATTTGATAGTGCAACTGGTAAGAATGAAAATCCAAATCCTAATGCTAATAAAGAAAATCCAAAATTATTTGGTGCATTAGGTGGATCTTCATATAAGAGACAACAAGCTGCTAGATTTGATGAGGATCCCGAGATTATTGCCCATGATTTCCACGATAGGATTCAATTGAGTAATAATGATTTCGATGATGGTAGTGAAGAAAACCCATCATTACCTAATAGACCAAAAGGTGAAACTGATAAGACTAGTGGAGAAAACAAGACTGCAAGCGATAAGAAATGGCAGCCATTAGATTCTGGAGTTCCAGCTAATTCTGATGCGTTTTTGGTAACTGATAGTGAAGAAGAAGAACTCACTGCTCCTGCCCCACCTCCAAAGAACTAATTGTAAACTGAACGATGATTTTATAAAGCTCTATACTTCTGACTCTCTCTCTCTCTTTTTGTTGTTATATATAATAATTATAATATACTACTATAATAAAAGAAAAGATACTATACAAGAAAAGGAATCTATATATATAAAAGGACGTAGAATGAATATCACTTAAGAAAGGCTTCAATCCTACCCCCTACCAGTAAACATAAGAATAATAAACTTATGAAAACCCCCAAAATAAACATCATCACACTTTAAACAAAAAACATAAAACAAAACACTTGAACCAAAACAAACGGCATAATTAAACTAATATGCATTCATGACACATGAAAGATTAATGAAATCTCTAACGAAAACAAATTAAAAAAGCAAAGAACAAACAACAATTTTTTGGGTGGAATAGGTATATATGGATGTAACGTTGTACACACCCTGCGTGTAACACACATACCATATATACTCAACGAGCAATAGATCTAGACAGGACTTCTCTATTTCTTCTTATCTTCAAATACTCGAAGCGATTTATATAAGCAATCTTCTACTTCCTGTTCATCATGTTTTATAAAACAATTAAAATCTTGAGATACTTTTGATAATGCTGGATGATATTGACACCAATTAATTGATGGACATTTAATAATTTTATTTGGTTTTGGTAAATTTAAATCATTATTCATTAATTTAATAAAGAATTCTATTAATTCTTGTTTATTATTATTATGAGAATACGATTGTTGTAAATTTGATAATTCAATGATTTCTTGTGTAATTCTTTCCTTTGTATGATTGGCCAATCTTAATGACGATGTTAATGCAATATGGTCAGGATTGGTATTAAGATCAGGTTTCACACGTTCTTCCTTCACAGATACCTCTTCAATAAGGGAAGGCTCGGAAGTAGGCGAAGTAGTAGCAGCTGTTGATAATGTAGTTGATGAATTTGAAGGGGTGAGTGATGAAGGTGTCTCGGGATCATCACTATAGTCATCCTCTTCCTTAGGCGTCAAAAGGGGTGAACCTTCATATGGTTTATCATCACATGTTAAATCAAATGAAACTGATTTACGATTGGTGGTTGCAGGTGGCGAAGATATTTCACTTGGAGATGGTGATCTTTCTTGTTGTGGTGGAGGTGAAAGTGGTACTCTATGATGTTGTGACCTCTTGTGTGACTTGCCATGCATGTACCGGTTGTCTATATGTGCTTGTTGTTGTTGTTGATGTCTTGGACTCAGCCTTGTATTTGGCTTTTCGCCCCTCAATGAAACTCGCAGTTTTTTATTTTTCATTGGTTGTTTTTTATCATGAGTATTGGAAATATCTTCCAACTCATTTAACTTCCTTTTGACATTATTATGGTTGAGTTTGACGTCTCTTAAACTGGCTGCCATTATTGTATTGTATCTGTGTCTATAGTTTTTACTTTAATAAACTGTAGAATGACACTATTTTTTGAGTCCGATTTTCAATGAAAAAAAAAATTTGGTTAATTTTTAATACCAACAAACAAAATAATATATGATGTAACTTTTCTCTCGCTGTCTCTCCCGAAAAAAAAGCCTTAAAAATAAAAAGGTGTGTTCCGTAATTAGTAGGGTGAGATTATTCCGTTGAGTTAAACCTATTGAATTCTATTAACCTGTAGGATCCTAAAGGAATTGAATTGATTTTTAATAATAATAATACAAGTATAAATTATATGTCAGACAGTCAGACACAATTGTAGGAATAAAAATGTCAGAAAGAAAGAAAGAAAAAGAAGGGATGTAAAAAAAAAAAACATTTGAAAGTGAAAAGATTAATCGATTAACTGTAAAATTAATTAAAGATTAAATGACACGAACAATTTAATATTTTTATTTTTTCTTTTCTTTCAAAAGTCGATTTAATTATTGCAGATTGGATGTAATATGCACGTAGTATTTCATCTAGAAAGAGGGGGTGAGATTTTTAAAACTTTTCTTTTCTACTGCAAGTTATTTATTTTTATTTTTTTTAAAAGGGGGTAAGATGAAAATTTCATTTTTTTTTTTTTTAATTTACCTGCTTCTGGAAAAATTGGGAACAACAAACTTTCTATGACAATTTTAATTGTAAACCTCTCCAGTTTAACCAATATTGATGAATGGTAATAATAATCAATGTACAATTATACATTCAAATGATAAAAGTACAAAGGCGGTTGCAATAATTAAACGAAAATAAACGTGCGCCTCGATTTAATTGTTTAATCTCACAATTTAAAATTACATACTCAAGCAAGAGAAGCTTCTTGTGAAACAATATTTTTTATTTAGAAGTAATTAGATGATATTTATTGCACAAAATCATAGACAAAGTTTTTAATCAGATGGTGGCAACCCAATCTGCAACACATAAATCCCTTCTCACCCTCTGACAATCAACTATCCTTTGCATACAGTTGAATATTCATGTGTGAAATGATACCATCCCAAGGCAATAGTCTCAATTTGTACACTTTTCAATAAAACAAGCTTTCTATGTGTTTATAGTTTAAAAAAAATCTTGTTAATTTTCATCTCAAAAACCGTGCCTAAAAAATATTTCCAAATGTTTATATTTAGAAATTTTGAACTTATCACACGATACATGTCTCACCAATACATTAGATTCCTTGATTTTATTGATAAATTGAATATAAACTAATCCAGTTGTCTATCCAGTAAGATACCCAGATAAAATTTATTGGCCATTCTTGTAAGAACATTATTGCTGGTGCATGAATACACTAAAACGGGATGTGTGTAGAATGGAAATGTGTAGTTGTTACTGTAGATGTCACACAAAAAAAACCTGGAACCCTAGAGTTTATGTATATCATCACGTAACGGCTACTTTCTAAGAATATTCCCTAGTGAGTAACGGAGATTAAAAAGACGTTTTGTGTCGTGAGGGGTTAAGTCCTTCCATGGACATGCCAATATCAGCAATCCTGTAGTTTACAGCGCTGTCAAAACTTTTCTGTCAAAAAAATGGATAAATTCAAGCGAAGAGTTTCCTGTTTCTTATAAAATCAATGTCTTTAATACCTATAACAGACTAAACGTTAAATGATCTATAAATATACAAGGCTCCCTTGACCGAGTATAAGGCGACACTCACATGACTGCATGTGGTGGAAATACGTTTACGTAGGGTGTGCGGATTCAAAGTCCGGCCCCCTGTTGTTTCAACGGAAGAAGCTATGGCTCTCAATTCAAACACCCATAATTCTGCATATTTCGATTCTCGCGTTTCATGGATGATCTATAATAAGGTCACCGAACTACCCGATGGCTGAATAAAGCCCTACATTCCCATTCACACAATTACTTCATTATATTAGTTCACCTATATACAAGTAGCGTAGGATCTATCTATATACGCTAAATTCACTCTTACTTCTTGTCTCCCTTTGGCAACAGTTTGTCTTCTTCTTTTGGCTTTCCTATACCAATATAACTTCCAACTTTTCTCGCATCTTCCATCATAAGTTTCCCAGCCATCTTAAATCTCCAAAACCAACCATGTTCTTGTCTCAATTGACGTTTCTTCTTCTTTAATTCACTATTAATTAGTCCGAATTGAGCATCATAAGGTACACCAGCTTCAGATTCCGCAAGACTTTCTTTTCCAAATAAATAATCAAAAACTCTACCATCAGACCAAAAAAATCCTCTTCTATCAATAATCCAATTCTTATTTCCTCCATTTGCTAAGTGTTCTTTTAAGATGAAAAAGAACATCCCCTTATCAGAAGTACCATAAAACCCTTTTCCGGTCCAAACTCTGGCAGTCTTTCTCCGGGACAAGTTTGCCAATGGAACAGTATATACCGGGGTTGGTCTACCTGGGAATAAAGGATATGAAGTAAATTTGATATGTTCAACCGGACCCGGTAAAAACCAAATCCTTCTAATTAATCTAGTTGGGAACAATGCTGCAAAATATGCAAATCCAAAAATAACAGCCGAGGGGACTAAATATTTCCCCAATGAGATTAACCAATCACGTTTACGTATAACTTCATTAGCTTGCTCAGTTTCATTTTCTTCATATTCTTTCCCGGAGATCCAAAAGGCCCATTCAAACAATACACCACCATATATTGTGAAAACAAGAGCAAAACATACTGACATCAAGAAATATAATCGATGTGGTTCACTTTCATATATCAATTCCGGTTGTTTTTTATTCTTTAAAATATTAATAACTTGTCTAAATGTAAATTGTTTACCTACTTGAGGTACACCAGGTCTTGGTAATAAAGTTGGCACATTTTCTTTCCCTAATGGAAATTTTGGTATTCTATCCTGTAATGTATTCGTATGGTTCTTTTCACCCGGAATATGTTCTTTTAAATGTTTCCATTCAACTTCGGATGGTAATTCTTGTTTTGGTTTGTATTTCGATGGCACATGGGCTTTGTATCTTAAGAGTGAAAAATTTATCAAGCAAGAAGCTGCTGGTCTCGGAGATTTGATTAAACCTATAGTACTATTGCTTTTCAAGCTAGCATTTGCTAACCTTGTTAACAACAATGACATGATCCAATGGTGAGATGGTTTCCAAGGAACTACCAATGAAGAAGTTCCCGTATAATTTTTTTTTTCAGCTGGAGAGATTTTTCGATCCTGAAAAAAAAAATCCATTTCCGGTATATGGTTCACGTGACTTTCCCTCGTATCTCATCTTCTGTTGTTGTTATTCCTGTTCTTATTCTTCTTATTCTTGTTAGAATTGGTTACGGATGATTCTGCTCGCTTTAATTGAACAGGATGTTGTCCGATATACTTCCCATTCATTTCTTTGAATGCTTGTAAATAATCGTCAGCATTTGCAAATGCAACAAAACCGTAACCTTTATTCTTGTTTGATTTTTTATCAAATGGGACATGTACTTTACTCATAGATTTATACTTCTCAAATGCATTATGTAATAGATCATCATTGGCATCTTCTCCTAAATTTCCTACGAACAATCTGAAATGTTTTGGATTCCAATCTGACGAACTTGTTGTTGTTGATGTTGCAGGTTTAACATTATTTTTGATGATGTTTGAGGTTTCGATTGTTGAGTGAAGATAACTGGCAGCCTTGGATCCACTTGCGAGTCTTCTATCAGAAGATCTTGATGTCGAGTGCTGAGGTTTTCTAATTCCTTGAGATCTATTCATTGTTGTCTGCTTCTATAAAGATTGGTGGTTGTAAAAAGAATTCCTTACCAAACAAAATTGCGCTTTCAATTCATTCTCATCGAAAAATCAAAAAAATTAAATCCTTCAAGAAACTTATAAATTCAAGAACATCACAGCATTACCGATGTTTGTCTTAACAGAAATATCGGACTTGGTCCGCATTCCTCCGCATACATTCCATATACCAATTCAACATTCGCTAACAGATGAGTTAAACAAAAAATATGCTAATAAAGTTATATCGAATCTCGGGTTAGTAGTAACAATCTGGGATCTACTTGATATCAAAGATGGATTATTAAAACCAGGAGATGGGGGATCATATGTCGAAACTAAATTCAGATGTGTGGTATGGAAACCTTTTGTAGGAGAAGTACTAAGTGGTTGGGTAAGTGATTGTACTCCAGAAGGTATAAAAGTTCGATTAGAATTCTTTGATGAAATATTTATACCCAAGAATTATTTATTTGAAAGTTGTGAATTTAAACCAGTTGAAAAAGCATGGGTTTGGAAACCTGATGAAGATACTGAATTGTTTATTGATATAAATGAAAAAATCAGATTTAGAGTTGAAGAAGAAGTATTTATGAATATTAAACCAAAATCTTCAAATGAAGCTGCTGGACTTGAAGAACCTACAAACAAAGCACCTCCATATGCAATCTTAGCTTCGTGTCAAACTGATGGTATGGGATGCACATCATGGTGGGAATAGTTGTTTTACTTATTTATTGTATAATATTTGCCTATAAGAGTACAATATATAATTTATATATAATAGAGAGAATGCATGGTAGTTTATTTGCATCTAATTGTATTGCATATATTCACTTGTAGAACTGAATTTCAAGTTACCCTTGATGACCTTATCAACCGCTTTAAGGAAATCTTTTTCATTAGCAACCTTTCTTCTTGCTCTAATTGCAAACATACCTGCTTCTGTACAAACTGATCTTAATTCTGCACCAGTAGCATTAGGACACAATCTTGAAATCAATTCCCACCTAATATCCTTTTCACAACTCATGGTTTTAGAATGAATTCTAAAAATATTTGCTCTACCATCTAAATCAGGCAATGAGAATTCGACTTTACGATCAATTCTACCTGGTCTCAATAAGGCAGGATCTAATGTATTAGGTCTATTTGTTGCAAACATAACCTTGATATTACCTCTTGGATCAAACCCATCTAATTGAGTAATCAATTCCAACATTGTTCTCTGCACTTCATTATCTCCTCCTGCTCCATCATCAAATCTTACACCTCCAATAGCATCAATTTCATCAAAGAAAATAATACATGCCTTCTTAGTTCTGGCCATTTCGAATAATTCTCTAACCATTCTTGCACCTTCACCAACATACTTCTGCACCAATTCAGAACCAATGACTCTTATAAATGTAGCATCAGTTCTATTTGCAACAGCTCTTGCACATAAAGTCTTACCAGTACCTGGTGGACCATATAATAAAATACCCTTAGGAGGATCAATTCCTAATTTAACAAATCTTTCAGGACTCAATAATGGTAATTCAACAACTTCTCTTAATTTTTCAATTTGTTCTTTACAACCACCCACATCACTATATGTCACATCTGGCTTTTCTTCAACTGTCATCATTGTCACTGAAGGATCAATTCTTGGTGGCAATGGTAGTTGGATTTCATATTTTTGTCTATCAACACCAACTCTCATACCTTCTTCAATATCAGTAGGAGATACTCGTTCTCCTAATCCTACCACGAATTTGGCAATTTGTTTTATATTAATGACATATTTGGATTTAGAATCAGCGTTTTGTAACCCACTAGTAGGAGCTGCTTGTTGAGTTGCTTCAATGATCTTGGTACATCTTGCAACTTGTAATGATTGTTCTTGTTGCATTCTTTGTTTATCTCCAACCACATCCCATAAATGTGGAGGTGCTAATCCGGTATCACTTTCTTTCACTCCGATGTTTTCCTTTATTCTCTCTTCGATATCTTTTAAATCCTTTTCAATTTCTTTTAATTGATTGGCATATGGTGCTGCTCCATACGTTTTCAATACTTGAATATCACCTTCTGATAAAGGAACGATTTTCTCTTGATTCTTCTCGTCATCTTCAGTTGGCGCTATATATTTATCCCAATCAGCTTTTGGTGGCATTGTGTAGATTGCTTCTTTTGTTTTAATATGTAGCTTTGATTAAAGGCTGCTTATGAGTTGATCGTGGTGGCAAGAATCTTCAATGTCAATTTTTCGCCTTTCAATGCTGAAGAAAAAAAATGAGTTTGGTACACGACTTGAGCCGCACTATCGGTTTGCATAATTATGATAATGATGTTCCTCATGGCCACCACAGTTAAACTACGATTAATCATTATATGAATGAAATTAACTAAATGCTTGTATAATAAATAAATAAATAAAGAAGTTTAAGTTTATGTAAAAGTATTAAAAGAAATCACAAATATGCATTTTCTTTTCTTGAAGTACAAGTTTGGAGAAAGGAATCTCTCCCTATATCATTTTCTATGTTGAACAAATAATGCAGCAACAAAAATCTATGTTCTATTGTCTAGTACTCTCTAATAAGCACGGACAGTTGGAGGAACTGGTTTACATTCAGATTCATCCAAAGTGGTCTTAATAACATCTCTGTATTCCAATGTAACATCGTCACCAAAGTTCTTTTGGTATGACAAAGTATGCTTCCACCAGTTAACATCATCTCTTTCTGGGAAATCTTCTCTAGCATGAGCACCTCTAGATTCCTTTCTAGCAGCAGCAGATGCAGCAGTTTGAGTGGCACAGGTTAACAAGTTTTGTAATTCCAAGGTTTCAACTAAATCGGAGTTCCAAATCATAGATCTATCAGTAGTCTTGACATCCTTGAAAGTCTTGTCAACGGCATTGATAGTTTCAACACATTCATCTAAAGTTTCTTGAGTTCTGAAAACAGCACATCCCTTTTGCATAGTCTTTTGCATATCTAATCTAATATCAGCAGTAGCCTTAGTACCGTTAGCATTTCTCAATTTGTCCAAGTTTTCAATGGATTCTTTACCTAAATCAGCAGCTAATGGTTTCAATGGTGTACCTGGAGTCAAACTGTCTCTAATGGTGTGAGAAACAGCTCTACCGAAAACAACTAAATCTAATAAAGAGTTAGCACCTAATCTGTTGGCACCATGGACAGAAGCACAAGCAGCTTCACCACAGGCCAATAAACCTGGAACAACTTCATCTTCACCATTTGGACCCCTCTTAATAACTTCACCATTCCATTTAGTTGGAATACCACCCATATTATAATGGACAGTTGGTAAAATTGGAATTGGTTCTTTAGTAACATCAACACCAGCGAAAATTTGAGCAGTTTCTGAAATACCTGGTAATCTTTCCTTTAAGACGGCTGGTGGTAAATGATTTAATTGTAAGTACATGTGATCCTTATCTGGACCAACACCTCTACCTTCATTAATTTCCATAGTAATAGCTCTAGAAACAACATCTCTACAAGCTAAATCCTTGGCAGTTGGAGCATAACGTTCCATAAATCTTTCACCTTCAGAATTGACTAAGAAACCACCTTCACCTCTAGCACCTTCGGTGATAAGACAACCAGATCCATAAATACCAGATGGATGGAATTGAATGAATTCTAAATCTTCCAAAGGTAAACCAGCTCTAGAAACCATAGCGTAACCATCACCAGTACAGGTGTGAGCAGAAGTACAAGAGAAGTAAGCCCTACCATAACCACCGGTGGCAATAATAGTCTTATGGGCTCTGAATCTATGTAAAGTACCATCTTCTTGGTTGTAAGCAATAACACCTACACATTCACCGTCTTGCATTAACAAATCCATAGCGAAGAATTCAATAAAGAAATGGGTATCATGTCTTAAAGCTTGACCATATAAGGAATGTAATAAAGCATGACCAGTTCTATCAGCAACGGCACAAGTTCTGTAAGCTTGACCACCTTTACCGTATTCTTTAGATTGACCACCGAAAGCTCTTTGATAAATTCTACCTTCTTCATTTCTTGAGAATGGAACACCATAGTTTTCTAATTCATAAATAGAATCAGGAGCTTCTCTAGTCATATAATGAATAGCATCTTGATCACCTAACCAATCTGAACCCTTGACGGTATCATACATATGCCAATGCCAGTCATCCTTGTGCATGTTACCTAAAGCGGCATTGATACCACCTTGAGCGGCAACAGTATGAGATCTAGTTGGGAATAATTTGGAAATACAAGCAGTTTTGAAACCAGATTCAGCTAAACCGAAAGCTGCTCTCAAACCAGCACCACCGGCACCAACAACCACACAGTCATATTCATGGTCAATGACGTGGTATTTTTGTTGCATGTACTTGGCAGCATTCACATCAGTACCTTTGATAGAACCAATGGTTTGTAATTTGGTAATTGTAGTTGAGAAAAGACGAGCATTTTGAGTTAATTTGCTAGCAGCTACTGCTGAACGACGTAAGCTAAGCATTATGTATCAGTTAGTTATGTTCAATGAACTTTTTCAGGGGTTCAAGTTGATCTAAAGTGATTATTCAATAAAAAAAGAATGTTTTGGGTGTTTTGGAAATCAGAAATGGGTGAAAAAAAAATTCCATCCAGTTACCACTCCAGATTTCCAATTTTCCGATCTCCGGGTTCTTGTTAAAAAATTTTCAAAACTGTTCTTTTCCTGCATAAAGAGAGGTTCAGCCAATCAAACAAATTTAATTTGTAAATTTGTCACGTGACTCCCTCGGAGTTTCACGGTGATTGTATTTTATGAATTTCCGTTAATGTTGACATTTTGTTGCCAAACTTGACAAAATTAATGATTGCAAAAAATTGTATGAACGTTTTGATATTCTAAATATTCTTACCAACCATACCTGAAAACTTTACCTCGAAATCTATAGTATCTTCTGCTGTAATTCTCTAGGGCCTTCTGACCTTTAATTCCTTGATTATTAGAATGTTTCAGGGAAATGTTTACAATGACCCGGAGTAATTTTAACTCTATGGCCCATTTACCAGTCCTAAATATGATTCTAGTTGAATGAACTTTGTAAAACAATAGTTACCGTGAGCTTTATATGTTCCTTTTATTCTACTTTGTTCCTTCTGGAATGCTTCCATGCACAGAGAGTCAACTGGATGACAATCCGGGGAAATTCTTCTCGTTGCGATGATTTCTTGGTAGTTTTTCAACGATTGCGAATTCACTTTCAGCGCTATATTGGAAATAATTGTTTTTAGAGCGGATTCGAACCTGTCTAGTTTATAGATCACTATCTATATCAGTCAATAAGGAACTTTGAAAAGTGAATTTGAAAATTCAATTAACAATGTAACTGGTGGTGCCCAGAAAAAGGTCTGAACATTTATTTGGGGGAGCTGAATGAAGAAACATTCCGTGCAACGAGATTTCGGCAACTTCCACAAGTCATCACGTGGAATCTAAATGAATAGTATACACCAAGGGATTTCATATCAGCGTACTATGCGTAAATTCATATAAGTTGTTCAATCTAGTATAATTCGGTGACAACAAGACTTCTCGTAATCTGAGTAATGCAGCCATTGAAGCAGTAGACGTTCTGCAACTGAAAACAAAGTAAACACACTAACACTACTGATTTTAGGTAATACTTTGGGATTTAGAGACTAAGAGTCGAGATAGCTTCGAATTTCAACCCAAGATTTGACAGTAAGAAGATATTTAGAAGTTTAGAAGTTTATTTCTCAAAACTACGCCAATTCAACAAAGAATTCTCTTCCAGGTCATGCCATGGCTTCTAAATTTTGTTGAGTTATTGTTTCCAAGCAATCTTTACAGTTTAAATGAAGTAATCCTCGGATAATCTTCTAAATTTCCAATTCAGACTACGTTGCAAGTCGGAAACAGGATTCCGGATAAATAAATCATGCTATAAGGTGGTAAGACTTGACAACCACTTGTCAATATTCAAGAGTCATAACAATAATCCATCAACAATGATTTACAGATCCAGAAAGGATAATAGGAGGTCTATTCAATCAAGGATGCGGTAGAAGAAAGGGGGTCTAGTCCTTAAAACCCCAAAAATTTTCTGAATTAATCACACAAAAAGGCTGTTGGCGCAATTGCGGAATCCTTGTTTGACAAAGGTTCTAAAATTAGGAACTGAAGGATCAGGGGGATATCCTGGGTGTTGGTCGAATTGAATGGGTGTATGTATTGTGTTTGTTGATTTCATATGATGTTACAAACTGTAATTCTAAAACAACGTATTCGTAATTGAAAAACAATAAAAACCCTTTAAAATGAAATAGACCTTGTTATCCAATTGCAGTAATTCACGACCGACTCTTCTCAAAAGAAATGATTGTGAGACTGTATATAAAATCTGATATTAGGAGGCTTTGATATTTTTATTAGACATTGCTTTGTGTCGTGACAATGGTGTGATGACGATTTATTTTTAGACTTCAAGGGGAATGAAGTGAGAGGGTTAAAAACCTCCAAGTTGGAGTGAAACGACGCAGAAGTGTAACCCCCTAATTATTATTCAAAGAGATCATAGAGAATACATTTATGGATAACCTGATTTTTACGGGTCTTTTGCTAAACTGTAGAATTACATAACGAGAGATGAGCTTGAAATAAAATATTTATCACCTCTTCTGTATGTAACATGATATAATAGACAATGGGATGTACCATATGATCCGAGAAAAAAAAATAGGCTGTAAGAAACATTTGCATAAAACATCTGTTTTTTTTTCTTTCCTTAAGATTTTTTTATTTTATTCAAGAAATTTTAAGATCAAAATTATTATTTTATTGTCAACAATTAATTGAGAATCAGAAGAAGAATTGCGAAATTAAAAATGTTCCTTGTTTTAAATGACCAAATGGAAATTTGTTGCCCTTGTTTCGTTATCTCTAATATTAATTAATTAAGACAACAGAAAGCCAGGCGTTAAGAGTATTTTTGTGATACTTTGGAAAATTTCAAGGAATGGAATGTATGGCTCCGTTTATTATTATATTGGGCAAAGAAGAAGACGACAAATGATGATGATGGAGATTAAGTCATGACGGGTCGGATATTAGACAAAAAAAAATATATTATTTTATATCATTTCCAATACTAAGAAAACAATAAAATAAAAGGAACTTGCATGAAACAATTTTAAAGAAAAAAAAATATTTGTCTTGAAACAAAAAGACGTTAAACTCTAAAAAACAAAAATCTCCACAAAAACTCAAAGAGAAATATGAATGATAAAAATTTAAACATCATACACACGTAAACGATAGCTGGATTAACTCCTCCTTTATTATTGCTATGTAAATGAAATTCTAGATCACTCTCGTCATCAAATTTGCTGTATGGAAATGTAGCACGCCTCCTCTTTTTTCTTCTAAGACATATTTCTATTTAAACCTCTTTTTCTATTGTTTGGTTTTCTGCAATATTTTTATTTAATTGCATTTTGTGATACTCGAGTACATTTTTCCTTTTTACAAATGTACATCTTAAATTTTATTATTAGAAATTTCTAAGTGGTAAATCGGCATATGTTGCTGTTGACTATGCATGATGGGTCATGGGTGTTTAATACGAGTGAGAGATTTTTTTTCTAATTCGGGCTAAGAATTCCACTATGTAGTGGGAATAGAAAAAGTTAAAATAATCGGATATTTTTATTAGTTGACGTACTTTATATTTCCACTGCGCGGTTATTTTCTAATTATGTTGTAAACATCGGATGGATAGATTTATGCTGCTAGTCATCATGTTTAATTGTTTATTAGGTCATTAAATGATGATCACGTCTAAGTTTATTAGAAGAAAAAGGTGAGGATTGGGTTAAAATGCTTGTTAACTATCTCCTCCTTGTTTCTTGCGTTTGTTGTGTTTCTAAGAAGGTAACACGAATCGAGACTTTCGTGTCGAGAAATTTATATTATATTGCGCTCAAAACCCAAAATTCAAAAAAAAAAAAAAAAAAAGAAAGAAAATGAGAAAAATGACCCGCTAATTATTTTTATTGTTGTATTTTATTTGTGATTGTTTTATGTGTGTGTTCATTTTTTTTGGTCTCTTTTGGTTGCCGTGATACCAATTTGACATTTTTAAAAAATTTTTGCAACTTTTTTTATTATTATTGAATATTATTGTATGATGAATATGGGATTATTGTCTTGTCTTGTCGTATTAAAGATTATGAAACTTTTATCTTCGTAGTATACAACCCCCCCCCCCCATCACACACACACATAGTTCTTATTCTGTACTGATTCTTCTCTAAGGCGTTGTTGTGTAAAGAAGAAGAATGATTTTTATTTCTTAAGTTAGCCACCTCTCTCAAAATGATCATGATTGTTTTAATCACTCGAGATGTGCTTTCCATAATTATCCGATAAACTTTAAAAATTCATCAAATGCATGATAAACCTTAAATTAAAATTTTTAATATGCAGTCCTTTCGGGTGGAATACGAAACGCACATCCTAAAATAATAAAAAAATAAAATAAAATAAAACGACAAATCTCTTAGAGGAGGGATATGTAGTAAATAAATGACGACATAGACTCGACTAGACTCTTTTTTTTGTTGGTACATGAAAAAGCCAAATGAGACGCAAAGGAAAAGTAACACAAGCTTTCTTTTTTTTTACATTTTTACATTTTTCTTTAACCGTAAAATAAAATGAAATTTTACTCATTAGATTTTTACAGGTTTATACTTATAAGCAACACAATACTACACAATAAGAAAAACAAAATTTAATAATTAATTTTTATAAAACAACAAAATAAAACACAAGAAAAAACAAAAAAAGAAATAAAGTTAAAATGCAATTCTCCTTTTTTTGTACTGTAGGACGAATTTTATTTTTCCAGAACAAGATTTAAAAAATAAATTGTGCAGCTTAATTTATTTTTTATTGTGTTAATCATCATTGCAAAAAAAAAATTATTATTTTAAGAAATTAAACACCTCTATGCAAATAGAAACACCTTTGAATATATAAAGAATATCAAATATCTATTTCCAATTCTATTAAAAGATTAATGAACCACCAATATCAATATTCACCATTCTTTGATTATATAACAAGTAACACATACATAATGGATCAATTTTATATAAATAATTATGTAAAGTTTGTTTGGATAATATTATCTCATGGTAATGCTACCACTACCTCGACTGCTACCAATTTTAAATCATTTCAAACATTCAATACCAAGTATGGTAAATTCATTCAAGATTTAATAATAAACTCACAACTTTCACAAACTAATCTTTTAATCAGTTTGTATTATTTATATAAGTATTATCATCATAATGATGTTCTCACCAATGATACTACCATTCCTTCTTCTAACGATGAAGAAGAGATACCAATGACTATTTATTTGATTATCATATCATTAGTACTTGCCAACAAATCATTTGATGATCAATCATATACTTTAAAGACTTGGTTAATTATAATTAACAATACCAAGAACTCTCAAGTGATTTCACTTGATTTAAAATTATTGAATTATTTAGAAGGGTATTTCTTAAGTGCCTTGGGATTTAAATTATCTTATATAAGTATTCAACATGATCAATCATTCTGGAATGTGTTTTCAGGCAAATCATTATTCAAATTATCTAAATCTATAGTAGCAAGATTTAGAGCAGTTGTTGATAATTCTTCATTATTATCATCACCAGCAACAACAACCACATTAGCATCAAGCATTCCAATTTCATATATTGGACATCCAGCCATGATTGATTTTTCATCACCAGCCTTGTCAACTGCTTCAAGTATGTCTCCAACAAGTTCAACTACTACAACCTACTTCTCCAGTCCTGTTGGTTATGATACACCATTAACTCCAATAACTCCAGTGGAGGGATATATAACCGCGTCATCATCAAAGCGTAGAAGGTTGACACCACCAACTTATCAACAACGACAACAATTTCAACAACTTCCCCCACCATCGCAATATTCATTGCCTATGATGTCAGGGGTTCCATCTTTGTTTATGCAACAACAACAATTTGTTCCAGCACAAGCACCAATGTATACCCAACCAATGGGTACCACCATGGTAGTAGTACCTGCTTTGCCATCACAACAATCTAATAATCAAGCAGCGATGGGGTCATCATATGTTCCATCATCATTGTTTTCAAAGAGTAACTATTATGGGTATTAATTTTTTTTGAATGAGAAAGAAGGAGAGAGAGCGAGAAAGAGAGTGGGTGTGGGTATCAGTGTATGAGTGTATGAAAATAGGGTATTATAGATTTATGTTTTTTTTTTCTTTTAGGTATAATTATTGGGTTAAAATTAATAGATAGATAGAGATTGATTAATTAGTTTTTTAGTTTATGTCTATTCTTTTTTTGAAAAATAAAGGAAGGTTTTAATTTAGAACACAATCTTTTTCATTGTACTCTGTATAGATTGTTCTTCTTACTATTATTGTAGACATCCATTCATATATGACGTGATGTGTGTGTGTGTGCGTGGTCAAACGGTGATGGGTGATGGTGGTAGTGGTTGTATTTAGACAATGGTTGCAAAAAAATTTTACAATCTGTTTTAGAATTCTTTTTTTGGCTGATACCAAGGCAATTGAATTACCTAAACAGGATGGTTAACGAAGTTGACCTTCCAGAACCACATTTTCTATTTGAAATCGGTCGGCAATAGTATGAAAACATAGCCATCGGGAGAGAGAGTAGCGCATGCACTTGCATTCAGATGTAACCGAAGTCTCCTTCTCCTTCTTGCTGTTGGTTTTGTGCCACTCTCAAAACCAAAACGTAAATTTTTACAAATCCGGTCTGTATGCAGTCTTTGCATTTCGCAGTGGAAATGTGAAAAAAAAAAAACATAATTATCGTCATCATCATTCCATTATCATCACACTGTTACAAAAGTTTAAGCCAACCTGAAACACTTCTTGTACACGGTGTAAAAGAGATTACAACATTAAAATTTAAATACAAATGACTGACGTGTTTAATCTCCAAATAAAAAAGAAAAGTGACAGTTGGTAAAAACAATCCCCTCCCCCTCCATCCTTCAATTATTACCATTTCTTACGGTATTATTTGTGGGTTTTTTTTGGGGGGGAATTGGAAACGAACTGCCAAAGAATTGTTCCTTACAGGGGTATGAGTATGGGAAGAAGAAGAGAGACGATATCACATGTTTCATTCTAATAATTCTGGTATGTATCCTCCTCGTTTAATCATATTATTTGATAAATGTGTGAATTGATGGATGATCATGAAAATTTGGGTTTGCCACTTATATGTCGCATTCAGTCGTTTTCTGTTTGTCTCCTTTTTTTTATGGTTAAACTTAAATTTGATTTTATTTTTTTTTTTGGGGAATTGTTGATCTGTAAAATAATTTTAGATTTGTATTGTTTGTTCAGTTCCTCTCCTTTTGTTTTTTCAATTTGAAATCAAAATTGGCTTAAAATTATATTTGTTTTCCTGAGCAATTTGCGTAACTTTATACATACTCCTGAATCTTCATACTCAACCATTGCTGTTCATTGAAATACAAAGCATTCTACTGTAATCACACGTACTTTGTATAGGAAAATAAATTAATTAATTAAGAATAAATTAAGAATTGCAGCAATTCTTAGTCTAAAATTTTTACTTATGGTTTAGATGTTGCATATTTCAAGTTTACAGGTTAGACAAAATACCCAGTAAAATTGATTTTATACTTTTTTTTTGTGGAACTAAATAAATAAATTTATCGTCTTTTCTCACCCCCTAAATTCACCCCCTGTTTCAATATAATTCCACCACAACTCATACTTCCTATTCCACTACTATGTCTATTGTTCTCTTGGTTTCATGGTTGTCCCTTTAATTATTTTATATTTAAACCTGAATTAAATATGAATTTTCATTTACGAAACTTGTTGTTGTTGATTCAATTTCAAAAATGTTCTATCATACGACTTATCCCATACAAAACACCCAAACCCATATTCTCTTTTTTTTGGTGATTTACCCTCTTCCCCCCTTATGATGATACAGTTACATAACTAACTGAAATCATGTTCCGCCAAAAAGTTTATTTAGGTTACTCTGTTTACGTTTGTATAAATAATCAAGCTTTATTTTTAACCTCTTTTTGTCCAATTTCTGACGCTTCGGCGTTTATTTGGGTTCCATTTTTTTTTATTCAGATTTTTGTTTCTTGTCAATTTCTTGTCTTGTCTGGGGGATAAAACCTAAATTCACCCAGCCCTATCACCAGTTCAGGATATCAAGAAATCAATTACTAATGAACGAAAGTTCCGTGGTGTTTTCATCACTGGCTCCATTCGTTGTTCATAACCATAAACGACCTCGTTAGAATCATTGGCTAAAAATTACTTGAGTTTTTTTGTTTATCTTGCAAAAACAAGAAATCTCGCAGGTTCAATCCACCAACTTCGCCCTCTCCCCTTTTCTGGATCTTTTGTAAGGCATTATTATTCATTAAAGTTCAGAAATGTGGTCACATAATTATGCAAACCACGACGGAATATTATGTTGAATGACTTATAATTATGCAGTGCTTTATTTATTATTCATTTTTAGGGTTTTCGTTTGCACGCGAGTTTGCCTTTTTGGTTGCAAATATTTTTTTTCTTTCTAGGATAGCAAACAACACTCCTTTCATTTTTTCACATGTTGCTTGCGGCGATTTTTTTCACTCTCGTCATAGGCAATAATCCCAAATAAGAGGTATAAGCAAGTATCAATTTCAAACCCCTGTCCTTGTGTTTCAAGGGATAATTTACCTGTTCTCGGCTGGCTAGATCAACCAAGCTTGTTGTCATACTAAAATTTGTACTTGCATAGCCCTACACCACAAGGAGAAAGTTCTGCAGGGCCAATGGTTAAATTATCAGCATGGTATCTGCCGCATATTACTTTAAGGCCGATTAGAGCCTTTGCAACAAGATTAATAAGGAGAAAACTGCTTTCTAACAAGCTGATTCTAGTGGTCACTTTCCAGTTTGATATTATTCATTGTAACGAAATCAGAAAGTCTATATAATTTCAAGACGTAGTATGCATTGATGTGAAATTAACTGAATAAATTTCTGGTATTAAGTGTTCATATGAATAATAGACAAAGTGGAGCAGATTTAAATGTCAGTTTCACTTTCCACTTGGTATTTTGGTGCTACCAAGTGTACATTTCAGAAGTGTAATCCTCTCATGTGCAAACTTGGGACGAGATCATTTGGTTTATGTATAGATGCATGGAACAACACTTTGTTGAAAGCTATAAAGAATCCCCAGGTATGAAAGCTATGGAAAAAGAACGAAATCACTTTGGAGCAACTTATATTTTCTATTTCAAACACTTCTATTCCTGCTTTGTAGTATTCAAAAGAAAACCGCTTTTATGAAGTTGTATCTTCATTCAGTGTATGGAAATATAGGACGATGTTTTATTATATGGTGCCTTCAATTTGCCATTGTTGAACAAAACTGATTGGGGATATTCACTGTATATTCTTCGCACTATTTCAAGACTTTGGTGCGAGGGGTCTGGAATTCTAGGTGATGAAAGTGTTCTTCTTGATCACTTAACCACACTATTTATATTATACTAGAAATTTTTAAAATGAAAAATAAGTTATGATTTGAGATACGTTGGAAGAAAGGGTTGCTTTGGATCAAAACTTTTTTGCAGCCAAATTTATCATGAAAACGAGACCAAAAAAACGAAAAGTATGGACAAATTATTTGCCCCACAAAAGCACACAAAAAATCATCTAATCTGTCTCAAACTTTCAATTGGGACATGAATATATCCCTTTACAAGCTCTTTGGGTCACTTTCTATCATTAGAAACAGTTTCCGTAGGAATAATATCAGAAAATCGAGAACGTCACGTGATGTAAAAATATCGGTCGTAAAAAACCCTGAAAAAAAAATTGAAAAAAATGGAGGGTTGGCCGAGTGGTCTAAGGCGGTAGACTTAAGATCTACTGGACAGTGTCCGCGCGAGTTCGAACCTCGCATCCTTCATTATATTTTTTTGATACTTTTTGCACGACTTTGTGGGTTTTTTTTGATATTTTAAATAAGAGAAGTCATTCAAGGTAAATTTTTTTCTTTCTTTAATAAACACTTTGTAGAACTTTTATTTATTCCACCTTCCCATCTGAAATCATATTCAGATACCTTTACTAAAAGGTTAATACAGATCTAGTTGCATCCTATTGTATCAGTTAATCGAATATTTGCGATTGATTAATACGAAAAATAGCCTGTGTATCTTGAACAAGAAGAAGAGGTCATCATTTGGATTAGTAATATAAAGAAGGTTTGCCATCCATTTTACACAACTATTTTGTTCATATTTGGAATCTATTCAAGAGGTACTTTTGATTTATTCATAGAATCGAAAGTCTATTTGAAGTAAGAGGATAGCTTTGTCAAATAATAATATGTCTCCCACGGGAAGTACAATACAACTAGCACAGGATGAGGTCTATGTTGGTCCGAATTTGAATGTCACATTAACTTGTCCAGAATGTAAAATATTTCCTCCTGATTTAATAGAAAGATTCAGCGAAGGTGATATAGTTTGTGGAAGCTGTGGACTTGTGTTGAGTGACCGTGTAGTCGATACACGATCAGAATGGAGAACATTTAGTAATGATGATCAAAATGGGGATGATCCATCTCGTGTGGGTGATGCGGGAAATCCATTATTGGATACAGAAGACTTGTCAACCATGATATCTTATGTTCCTGAGAACACTAGAGTTGGAAGAGAGTTAAATAGGGCACATTCAAAATCATTAGTTGATAAAAAGGATAATGCCTTGGCTGCAGCGTATGCCAAGATCTCACAAATGTGTGATGGTTATCAATTACCAAAAATCGTCCAAGATGGGGCTAAGGAAGTTTATAAAATGGTATATGATGAAAAACCATTGAGAGGGAAATCTCAAGAATCTATTATGGCAGCATCTATTTTCATTGGATGTAGAAAGGCGAAAGTTGCCCGTTCTTTTAAAGAAATTTGGGCTTTAACTAATGTACCACGTAAAGAAATTGGGAAAGTATTTAAAATTATGGATAAAGTTATTAGAGAGAAGAATGCAGCTAATCCTAATGCTGCATTATATTTGAGTCATGATAATATTCAAACTACTCAAACATCAGCTGAGGATTTAATCAGAAGATTCTGTTCTCATTTGGGATTAAATGCACAAGTTACCAATGGTGCCGAATATATTGCCAGAAGATGTAAAGATCTTGGTGTGTTGGGTGGTAGATCGCCAACAACTGTTGCGGCAACTACAATCTATATGGCATCATTAGTATTTGGAGTAGATGTTCCTCCAACAAAAATATCAGACAAAACTGGTGTTAGTGATGGAACTATTAAATCTTCATATAAAGTCATGTATGAAGAAAGAGAAAAGCTTGTTGATCCATATTGGATTGAGAGCGGAAAAGTGAAATTAGATAGAATTCCAAGGAGTTAGAGAGAGTATGTCGTATATGGGATATACCATAAAATAACAGGAAAATCACGTAGAAAAAAACCAAATAAAAAAAAAATCGCAAACAAATAGGTAAGAAAACTAATTGGGTCAACTTTATAGATAGATATTTATATTTTCTTTTGTAATATTTTTAATAATTTTTAATTTTATGAATTCATTTATTAGATTTCATTTAAACAGCATCAATTAGGTGGGTGTATCTGAAATGATGATGATGATGATCTCTTTTGAAAAATCTGAAATTTTTTTTACGAGCCTCAATTATGACAGTAACAAAAAGAAAAAAAAATAGAAAAAAGGGGAGTGGGACCATTTTCTGTTTAATTCGAGATTTCTTTCAGATCCTTTTTCATTTTCACCCACACCCACTTGCTATAAAAATACTATGCTTAGATCGGTACGGAGTTTTTGCATTTCAGCAATCAAGTATAATGCAGCACCAATAACTCGTCAAGATGTGGTGATCATAGGAGGAGGTCCAGCAGGATTGACATTACTTGCAGCATTGAAAGCTTCACCAAAAACCAAGCATTTAAGTTGTACATTAATTGAAGCAACCAATTTAGACAAAGTACGTGAATTTCAACAACTGCCACCTCATAATTACACCAATAGAGTCGTATCTATCACTCCCAAATCAATTGAGTTTATGAAATCAAAAATCGGAAATTGGGATTATATCCATGAAGATAGAGTTAAAGAATATCAAGGGATAACTGCATATGATTCACAAGATGCGACATCAAAAGTTGAATTTGATGTTAGTAATATTGGACAAGATACTTTAGCCGCAATGTGTGAAGTTATAAATATTCAAGGTTCTTTATTAGCAAAAATTGAAAGTTTAGAGAATGATGGGTCAATTAATATCAAAGATAACACCAAAGTAATAGAAATTGTAAACCCCAATGAAGTTGATATAGAACATCAACATGACTTGAATGAAGTAGACCAAAGTTCCGGGACCTCTGAGTTAGATTGGCCAATTGTGAAATTATCAAATGGAGAATCAATTCAAACTAGACTTTTAGTGGGGTGTGATGGTTACAATTCCCCAGTTCGTAAATATGCAAAGATTGAGTCAAGAGGATGGCAATATAATGCGTTTGGAGTGGTTGCGACTGTGAAATTACAATATGAAGATTTCAGAAATGTAGCTTGGCAAAGATTTTTAACTACTGGTCCACTTGCAATTTTACCATTGAATGGAGATAATGCAACTATTGTATGGTCAAGTACTCCAGAATTATCAGAAATTCTTCTTAAAGTTAACAAAGATATTTTCCCTAGACTTGTAAGTGCAGCAATGATATTGGATGAAGTAGACTTGAAATATATTTATAAATTATTAAAGAAAAATCCTGATGATTTTTCCGTTTTAAAAGAAATTGAATGGAGATTATCTAAATTTAATGAAGAAGAGATAGAAGAAAACTATCCTGTACCAATAGTTGAAGTTATAGATGGTTCTCGTGCTAGATTTCCTTTGAAAATGTCTCATGCTGATACATATGTCGCACCAAGAGTTGCATTAGTGGGTGATGCAGCACATACGATCCATCCATTAGCAGGACAAGGATTGAATATGGGTCAATCTGATGCTGGAGCATTAGTTGAAGCGTTAGAAAAGGGTATAGATAGAGGAATGGATATTGGATCTACTTTAGTATTAGAAAGTTATGTTTCTAATGCATGGCCTAGTAATCATGTTTTACTTGGAGTTTGTGATAAATTACATAAAGTATTTTCTACTGATTTTTATCCTTTAGTTGTTGCAAGAGGAATTGGGATGAAATCAATTAATTTTGTTAGTGGAGTTAAAGATTTAATGATGAAACAAATTAGTGGTAACTAGAAGTATGTATCTATTAGAATAGATATCTCTTTATATAAATATGAGTATATGAATCTGTATATAGCAATTTAATTAAAGCTTTGAATCTGGCACGGCATGCGGCCCTCCAAGCAAACCAAAGTTACTGACCCAAAAGAAAAAAAAATATCAAATTTCAGTTTTGCAGCACATCCGTTTTTTTGACAACACAAATTGATGATGAATAGAAATTGGAGAAGAAACCTTTCCATCGCTACCAGACATTTACAGAAGAATGAACCTGTGCTAAGCAATTCATCACCAACGATAATCACAACTAATCAATTCATACGGGAAGAGTACCAACCACCAAAACATCCAGTTGTTTTATGTCATGGATTCTCCGGTTTTGATAGATTGGCATTAATTCCAAAACTTGACTACAGCCTACTTGGTAAAAAGGAATCAGAGGTAAACAAAGAAATTCTTCAAAACTCAAACGCATTGCTTGAATTTGAATATTGGAGAGGAGTTCAAGTTGTATTGGAAGAATTGGGAACAAAGGTATTTATCGGAAAAGTCCCTGCATTCGGTAATATCAAAAGTAGAGCAATCAATTTAGACCATTTCATTACTAAACAATGCCATGTGTTACAAAACAAGAACCAAAGTAAAGAACCAATTAAAGTGAATTTGGTAAGTCATTCAATGGGTGGATTGGACAGTAGATACTTAATATCGAAAATCCACAATAATAACAAGATATACAAAGTCATGTCACTCACAACAATATCCACTCCACATCATGGTTCTGAATGTGCAGATTTTGTAGTTGATTTGATTGGAAACAATCCAATTTTGAAAGCAATATGCCCAACTTCAATTTTTGAAATGACAACTGAAAATATGAAACTGTTTAATAGTAAAGTATTGGATGATCCTTCAGTTCAGTATTTTTCATATGGAGCTCGCTTCAATCCTAGATGGTATAATTTATTTAACTTTACTTGGCTTATAACAAAATACCAAATTCAATCAAAGCAAAAACGTGTCGGATCGAATCAACAACTTTCTGACGTATTTGATAATGATGGATTAGTTACTGTAAGGAGCTCAATGTGGGGAAAGTACATGGGTACATTTGATGAAGTCGATCATCTTGACTTGATCAATTGGACAAACCAAGCTAGAGATGCTTTCGATAGAGTGATGTTTGGAAGAAAACCTTCATTTAATGCAATTGCGTTATATTTAGATATATGTAACAACTTGGCTAAACAAGGACTATAAAAGACAAACAGGTTCATTAAAATTAAAATTATTGGTTGATAGTAATAGACTTAAGAACACAGAATTCTTCAATACCCCAAATACTGTTAAATCTACCAACACCACTACTTTTAACACCACCATGAGGAACACCTGGTTCATCATGCACAGTAGAACCATTGATATGAACACCACCAGCTTCAATGTCCTTGGCAATACCAATTGCTTTGATAACATTCTTTGACCACACGGAAGACTTTAATCCGTAGTCTCTACTATTGATTTCGTCAACAACGTCATTAACGTCAGAGAATTTTTCAAGGACACAAAGAGGACCGAAACTTTCAGTAAGGTAAAGGCTCAGTTCTTTTGGAACATCTTCTAAAATTATTGGAGTAATAACATTGGTTTCCTCAACCTTTTCTCTGGAAAATTCACCAAAAGCAAGCTTACCACCCTTTTGTAAAGCATCTTCAACTAAATCAACAATCTTATTGGTACCCAAAGTGTCTCTTTGTGAAATAAGATAATCTGGATCTTTGGCAACTTCAGTAGCAGTCTTGATCAATTTTTCTTTGAATTCATCGTAGATTGATTCATGAACAAAGACATGATCAGTACTCATACAGATTTGACCTTTATGGGCCCAAGAACTCCAAACAGCATTACCTGCTGCTTTGTCGAGATCAGCATCTTCCAAAATAACAGAAGTGTTCTTACCACCGAGTTCCAATAAGTAAGGAACTAAGTATTTTGCGGCAGTAACAGCAATCTTCTTACCAACGGCAGTTGAACCAGTAAAGTTTAATTTCTTAATACCACCAGTCTTTAACAAATCATCAATAAAGGCAGGATTATCTTCAGGTCTTAAATTAGCCATTTGTAAGGCATTAGCAGGAACACCGGCATCTAAGAAACACTTGACTAATAAATAAGAACATTTTGGTGACTTTTCAGATGGCTTGACAATGACTGAACAACCAGCAGCAAGAGGGTAGAGAATACTTCTTCCAGCTAAAATGACAGGAGCGTTCCAAGGAGAAATAGAAAGAACAGGACCAATTGGTAACTTATAAGTCAAAGCTAAATCAGTCATGGCTGATGGTACAACACCGGCTTGAGGTGCTTGGTTGATAACTTGTTCGATTTGATGAATGACACCACCAACATTAAAACCGGCAAACCAGCCTGGGAGCCCGATTTCGGATTGAGCATCAACGAATTGTTGCTTTCTTTCTTCCAAAAGTTCAATGGTTTTGAGGAAAATCTTGTTTCTTTGACCAATACTATACTTGGACCATTCCTTGAACCCTTTTTGAGTGTTGCTAACTAATTTATCGATGTTTTCTTTGTTCACATCAAAATAGGAATAATGATGTAATACATCCTCTGGCTTAGTAGGACAGTGGACTGGGAAAACCTTTTCAGGATTGGTGATTTCTTCACCTTCGATAATATTTGGGATAACAGCTACAGGGGACATTTTTTTGATTGTAGTCTTGGTTGTTGGATGAGTTAAAATTGAGGAAGGAACTCGGTCCAATTTGACTCTATTTATATTTCGTGCGACTGCATTAAGATATATACGATTTGTCATCGATTGTCCTTGGGATCAAACCTGGGGTTCAAAAATTACAATGGTTATTTACTTTTCCGATTTAGCGATCAAATTTTATAATTTATTTTTTCATTTTTGTTTTTAGAGTTTTTTTCTTTGGGGTTTTCGGACAAGAATTTCTTTTACAGGAAACGGATATTAATTTTTCCGAACTACCCCAAATAATAAATTCATTTTGAGATCAATAATGCAATGGTGTTCTTCCATATCAAGCCCCGAAGTATAACAGATTGATTAGATCCTCGCTAATCGAGTGCACCACATAAATATTGCAATCAATTAGGCAATTTGCCATTTTAATTAGTACCGAGGCACTCTTTTTGTAAAAAGGCTGTCAAATATAAACTTTCGGGAAATCATCGACCATAACTGTGGTAACTCCGAAAAAAAACATGCCAAGATGGACATAAAACCTCCACATTTAGGCACATATGGGGAAGCAGCAAATGGCTGAACCTAAAGATATTCAGAAAATAAACAAGAAAAAATAGAAAGAAAAGCGTAGAAAGTCGGCTCGTGAAACGTCCCGAGACAATGCAAAGATTTGATATCTGAAAAGAGGATTGGATCTTTCAAAGAAAGGATTCAAAAGCTTGACCGAGTCTAGCAATAAACAATATGGGGTACCGGACCGTATTACCAAGAGTTTACACATTATTTCCAGTTTGCAACCGATATAAATTAAAATGAGTCTCCCATTGTTACAAGATGCGGAAAAAAGCACAACTACCCCTCAAAATTAGAAAACTTGCTTAAAAATACGAGGGACACAAAAAATAAAATCTTATTAATTAATTTATCAGTTTGGCCAAGAACCAGTAAAGCTGAAAAACTTAATTCTGTTACATAATTGCTTGTGATATCGTAGAGATGAGCGGAATCTATCAAAATAGAAATTATAATTTCGGATATATTGAATAATGAAGAAGCAGTTACTACTTGGAAATTAAAGGAAATCAAAGAAAAAAAATGGAATTTTCATTGAGACAATGATTTTGCCTCAAAACTTCTAAAATGGTGATTACGTAAAGTAGCAACCTCAACATAAAACTAATGTAGTTGGCAATTTGTAAGCCTTACCTAATTTTCGGAGATTAAAAAACTCACCCCTCTTCTTCACCCCTCTTTCATGGAAGTTCAACGTCTTTTTTTGTTCTCCATGTGGTCCATCGCTTCGATGTTGATCTAATTTATTCTTTAACATGATTTGAGTTGAGATTAATACTAAGAATCTGAACTATATTATAAACTCGTATAGCGATACTACTCTAACTAGTTACCTATTTACTGTTTGAACGAACAAATGATAAAATCTAAAATCCTATCCGACAATTACATGCACAAGCTTCTATTGCTGTTCTGTTAACTCTGCCAATAAATCTCTACATTCATCACAAAATCCAATCACCTGCTCCACTCCTTCAATCGTCTCTTTATTATAAAGCAATTGATCTAATATGTTTTCCTTTATGTATTCGCATCGTTGCACCTCACTCATTAACCAATTTGCCCATTCTGCTTTAGCTATTTCGCGTTCCATGTCATTCAACATACTTAATCTTACGATTAAATCATGTCTTCTTATACCAATATCTTGGAAAGCCTGCTTCAATCTCTTTGCCACCGAAAGGGCATTTTTGTTGAAATAATCATCACTCCAATTTGTATCTTGCTTGTAATTCAGGATGAATGACTTATTTCTAAATAATGTATAGGGTCTTGAACCATTAATAACCATAGGAGAATTAGTATGGTTAAGGAGATCCTGCATATCTGTTAAATAAATCGATCTTTGAAGCATCATTGGCTCTTGCTTTATATATTCGTAAGCAAGTTGATTTGCCCTTCGAGTAGTCCAATAGGAGGTTCCAGTTTTGCCCATCAAAAAGAGATTCAACAAAGTTGAACATGCAATTATAAAAAGTAACAACTGATTTGCTTTAATCCCTTCAATGAGCCTCACAAGTAAATAAAAGTACCAAACAAAGCACCTGTAAACGCTGGTAATTGACTTGCTTATCATTTTTCTGAGCCCCAATCTTGCAACATAAAGAAATCCAAATCGTATTAAGGGTTCGGGAATATCTTCTTCTTCCTCTTCAGTATAGCTTAACTTACCGTACAAATAAATGGCTTTTACAATCATTCCATGCTCACCCACCTCTCTTACTACCTCCTTGAGTCGATTATCAATCTTTCCAATTTGATTCAAATCTATACGGCAACACAAAGTTTCAATAAACCAATTGGTCATCAAGCTCTTATTATCAAACTGCATCTTTGAAAAGAAAAGCACCTTGGAACGTTTACCTGCCATACCAACAATTACAACTTTGTAAACAATAGAAAATGTAGGACCAGCGAAGAACGCAAACTTGGACCTGGTGTGGGTGAATGTATAATATGAATTGTCTTCCATGTTATCAATTTCTTGAAATATTTGGGTATCACTTGTATTGCTGTCGTAACGTGCAGGAACATTAAGTTTCCTATATAATTTTCCTTCAGGTGTCTTCCTCCATGGCTTCTTTATGTAATATTCTAATTGTGTTAAAGCTGTCTGATCTTTTAATATAACGGAGTTGTCCCCAAGCAATGCGTGAAATAAAGCTTTTGGAGGAAGGCCATAGATTCTTTCTCCCAAGAAATTGTACTCAGAGTGGAAGTCAATCTTATATTTAACTAACTTTCCATCGGGTGAAGGAACAAACGAGGTGATTCCTCCCGCTACGAGTTGTTTCTCATGAGTCATATTTTTATCTGATAAAGTCTTCGAAAGGTTGCTTATCTCCTTGAGATTCTTTTGATCTTGTTCCTCCTTAATTAATTCTTTCTCAACTTCCGCCATTTCTGATAAAAGGTCTTTGAGACCCTTGGGATTATCACTTGCAATATTGTTAATAATGCATACCAACTTCTTTTTCACAAGTTTGCCGTCATCTAAAAATAACTTCATTTTAATAACCCCGTCAATATTAAATATTTTCAACATATCATACTGCTTCTGGGATGTACAATCAACAGATACGAGATGTCCCATATACCCTTTAAACAATGCAACAAATCCCAATGCTTGCATATAGAAATACATATGGTTAGGTGTCACAAAGCATCTCCCGCTAAGCTCCTGCTTGGAATTTGGAGACCAAATACAACTGAATGAAAGAACACAATACTCTCCAGGTTCAATTGCTGTTTCAAATAATGCTCTCATCTGAATATCCAAACTTACAAGTTCATCTGGATAATACTTTGGATGAAACATATCATTTCCCATTTTTTCTTCCTGAAATTTCATCATTTCGATATCTGGAGTGCAATCATGACGAGTATCGGCTTTTACAGAGTCATGCAAGTAGTAAATTCCCCAATTGACTGATCCCCATATATTTGCAGTTAAGGCAGTGGGTATTGGCATTGGTGCTGTGAGACTGTACGCTATAATCGAAGATTTTGTTGTGTCTGTAATGAAAGGTGGACGAATACCTGGGATCTGGAAATATAGATGCTTCTGAAAATATTTCTCATTCTTCTCTATATGGGCCGAAAGCGAACTTGAAGTAATTAATTGCCCGCCAGCAGCGGTGAGTTTGGTATTTGTTAATTCATGATCCATTACTGTGTTTGCCGTTGATGCAAATTCTAGAATAATCGGCGGATATCTCCCCGATGCGACATTAAACAATTCATCATCTGCTGTCCCAGTATTTAGAATTCTTTGCTTTTCATTCTCAAATACTTTAAGCCATGACTTTAATTCAATCAAAGACTCGGCTTGAAAAACAACCGTAAGTTCACTTGTTCTAACTTCAAAACAAAATCTTCTGTCTTCGTTCGGAGCGTATCTGACACTACACAACAAAACCCCCAATTTATCACTTTCCTGTACAAATGTCAGGGAAGGACTCAACACTAGTAAACCAAATATTCCTCCTTTTATGAATGCCCATCTTCTTGCCCAAATCGGCTTTGATGATTTTTCAGTCCAAGTTTTCATAAATAAGTAGCCATGCTTTTCAATTCCTCGTTCATCAATTTCATTTAGGGTCCTGGAATTGATAAGAGATGATTTATAATCATCTATGTTTGTAGAAGGTTGGAATTGTACGTGGCACCCTTCTTCAACTTGTGCCTTGGCACTTAGCATATCATTTGCCAATTTCTCAATGGATATACTATAAGAATCACTCCAACTCTGTATTTTACGCACCCTCTCCCATTGACTCCTGAAACCATTTTTATTAGCTTCCGAAGCAAAAATATTCCATTTATTCCGTAATAATTCAGTATTTAGACCCACTAGTATTTTATCCAAGGAATTGCCTAATGTCTGTAGCTCTATAATCAAATCTAAGGAGGCATGAATATACTCTTTCCTCACTTCAAATAACTGCTTTGCATCTTCCATGACCATTGACGACTCCTTTGATTTGGGAGTAGAAACAAAAATTGCCAAATATTTATCGTATTTAACCTGACATTGATCAAATCTTCGCCTTATTTCTTTATACCTTGTCACATCTGTAGTAATGAAAGCATTGATACTTTCCAATCCACGTGTATTAACATTGAGTGCTTGCAAACTAAGATCCCAAATTCTTTTCAAACCATTTAATGTAGTATGTAAAGATTGGACAGTATATTCTTGATCTATTAGCCCCTCTTGTAGGAAAGTTGGAGCCAAGTGCTCTAAAAATGAATTACAGAAGGATTGCACATCCTTTACATACCTTGGTATCTTCTTGAGTGAACTAGTCAAAGCAACTAACCATTTTTCTATGTTGTTTAGTTGTATATCAAGATGGTTCACACTTGCTCTAAAACACGGACTGTCAAGAGCAGCCTCTTTAAAATTCACTGATATAAGTTTGAATTGCCTAATTAATGCTGGATGGAGATCATCCCGCAGGAAATTACCATTTCGAATCACGGCTGTTGAACGATCGTCTAAACTGCTTCGTTGATCAGATAGCAGCAGATTTATGTCTCTTTTCATACCAGATGCCAGCATCGCTTTTATGAATTCATGTGACTTTTACCGCAATTGATTGATCAAATTGAATTGAAATGTTGAGTTGGCTGTAAAGGAAGTCAAGTAAATAAACCACTGGTTTTTTAATTTTTTATAACGGGTTTTGATTTTTTTTTTGCTTTGGCCAAAGTGCGGAATATCTGGAAATAGGAATTGGCTGCCAATTCTAAGAAGAAAAGAGAAAGAGGAATCTGATGAAACAATTTGTTTATATTTGTCCTATAAAAAGTTCATAATGCAATTGGTAAAATGTTACAATTATACTATACAAGCTTATAGCCACTAATCTTAGTTCATTTTTGGCTTATAAAAATTGACTGGGGTGTTGACGGGGAAACTATTGGTACCAATTGATCGTTTTGCAGAGTTGTTGGTTTGTCTAAACTTCTTAATATCTTCAGAAGGATCATACTCCAATATTGGACCGAATTTTATATTTCTTGGATTGATATTTTCCTTATTCAATGACTCGTTTTGACCAAAATTAGAAGCAGATTCATTGACTTTTGACATAATATTTTGCATATTCTGAGTTGGTGCGGCTTGTACATTATTTGCCATGAACTGCATTTGCTGGTTACCAAAATTCACTGGATAAACTTGATCGAAGTTCATTTGATTATTGTTTTGTTGCATATACATATTTTGTTGCTCCTGAAAGTTTTGCGTCACACGAGAAATGTTGTTGGGATACATGTATGTTTCTTGTGGTTGTTGAATCTGTTGATTGAGATGATAATTTGAAGTCATTTGTCGTGAGAACTGTTGAATCTGAGTAAATGTTTGCAGTTCCATAAATGATGGTTGCAACTCTGTAGGATGAGCGGGACCAGGGTTTGAGCTGTTCATAAAAGGATTAGCCATCAATCTTACTTTCTGATCCATAGTGCCCGATAACAAATTTATCCCCGTAGCCTGTCTTTTCCAATCCTCAATAGTTGCAAGGGATTGAGAATATTGAAGGGGGGGTCTTTGTACTTGCCCAACAATGGCAGGCATTGGAGTCATCTGTTGTCTCATTAAGTTATTTTCGAAGTATTGTGCTTTATTAGGCATATAAGAAATTGTTGAATCACAAGCAGGGGCAGTCATTGGTCCTGCGTTCATGCCCCTTGAAGAGTTCGCTTTTCTGACGTCGATTCGTATTTCTGGCCTGCTAGGTGTACCAAAGTGCAATTCATCTGAAGGAGTACCCTTGATTGGAGATGAGTCGGCAGGGATTGTCTCATTGTCATCTAGTTCCTGTTTGCATTGAATTATATTATCAGATGTACCGAATTTCTTTTGTGAATTATCTTCAGTAACAGTGATTATTTCAAGTGCTGACTTCCCAGAAGTTCCTCGCATATTGAATTCGTGTATAATATATCCTTTCAACTGGGATTTATCAGCATCAAACCCCATTCCATTATTGCCTTTATTTTTGTAGATGGCTTGGTATATCCTCAAGTTGTCATTTTCGCTAACTGAAGATTGACCATTCACGAGATAGTTAATATATCCCATAAAAAAGCATTTCATGAACGGAATTTGTAATGAGTATGCATTGGATGAGGAAACATAATAGCCATTTACCATTTCAATAAATTCTGATAGTTTGTTATTGCTATTTTTCCCCTTAAATATTTGAGTGAAACTGTTCCAACTTAACATTTTTGTTCTATTTTCAGAACATGTCACGTTAATATCCATGTATGAATCAATTTGACCATTCATGAGGTTTAAAGGGAAATGATATGGTGTCTCAGTAATTGCAGATCTTGGGGTTGATGTCGTGAATGGTTGTTGATGATTCACAAGCAAGTTTACATCGTGACTGATCAACCACAAAGGTATCCCATCTTCATGAAGCATTTGGAGGATTTTGGGAGCAATTTGATATTTTGATGCAAGTGTGGATAGCGATTGCCTTGATTCTCCCCTCAGGTTCAACTTTGAAAATATATGGTGTTCCACTTGATTGTTACTCACATACTGCAAATTGAATTCTTTCAAAAAAAGTTCATACGTGGGAGCATCATGAATATCGATATTCACAGGCGATGATGACAATAAAGCATCAAACTCCAGACCAATTGTACGATTGGATTGATTTGAGGATCCTTGTGTGAACATCAAATCGTCCAATGGAGTTTGAATCAATTCATCAAGCCTCTGGTTACTTGAACCTGACTGAGGAGTCTGTGTTATTCTTCCCTTCTTATCCAACCTGTTTGATTTTGACAACCTAAATAACCTGGATGAAATTTGTTTAGCACTTCTTGATATTCCAGTTTTGTTGAATATCATACGAGACAACACTCTATTTTGTGATGTATTCTTAAGGACAGAAGAATGGCCGCCAGATTGGCTGGCTCTAAACTCTCTATACTTAAGAAAGGACTTGATCAATACGTCATCCAATTCTGGGTTCCAAACCTTTTCTTCCTTATTGGCTAACGAGCCAGCTAATACAGCTGACGCTGCGTGAAGTACTTCTGAATCAGTTGAGTCAACCTTTGGAGATGCAGGTGAATCTATTGTTGTATCTATCTTGCTAGCTATTGAACGATTTGGCGTATTTCTGATTTGCAATTTTCTTCTTTTGACACCTTCCTTTAATACAACAGAAGGTGTTGCCGGTTCACGAGAACTACTTCCACCGCTGGAGTTTTCGTCGTTGTTTCCCGATTCTCCAATCATAAACTTTCTTGGAGTAAGGAAATTAGTGCTAATGCCTTGCCTTGGTCTCCCTTCACTGTTCTGGTCTTCAGAAAGCCCATCATTGGAAATCATTGTAGTCATGTTTGGTTGGGTGTTATTAACACGAGGGGACCAAAGTTCCTCTTCATGAGAGATGGTTGTTTCGTCGTCTGTGCTTCTGCTGAGTTCTCTTTTTGTATCATATTTGAAGTCATTTGAGTTTAGTTTGGTTGGTAGTGAATCTCTGATAATGAGTGGTTTTACCCCTTTGATGGTTGTTCCATTTGTATTAAGAGGCTTGAATGGTGAACTTGTTGGATGAACGGGAGAAGAAAACTCAAAGGACGGCAGTAAATTGAGACCGAAATGGAAGGAAGGCGTATCTGGACGAAGCATAGTAGAGTTGTTGGTATTTTCTGCCTTGGTTATAGTTACTTTTGGTGTTTGAGGGTATAGTTTTGGTTTAGTGTTATTTTCACTGTTTATCTCGTTGTGAAGTGAATTACCTAAGAACAAGTCAACTTGCTCCGATCTCATCGAATCCATAATTGACAGACTTTTTCAGTTTCTTCGTTAATGAGAAGACGAGGTTGGTGATATTCAAAGTAGAGAGGATAGAAAGCGTTTTTTTTGAAAGCTTACTTTTGTGAAATCACCCGGTGTCTGGTAGTAAATACATTCCGAGGAATCTGGAAGTTTTTTTTCGCGGTCAGACGCGCTTTTTAGTAAAAAATAAATTATTTTTTAAGTTTCGCAACCATTTCATTTCGACTACAAAAGAAAAATACATTACAGTTTTCATTAACCGCAACTCAAAAAGGTTAATATTGAATTATACTATAAATCAAAGCACATGTAAAAATAGACAACCGACAAGAACTCAGCCGCATAAGCGCTCTAGCTCTTCTACAATTGCATGACATAAACCAGGTAGTTGTTCTTCATAACGTGTAATGTCCTTGGTTAGATTTTCAACTGTGCGTCTTGTGAACTCACTTCTTCCGCGAAAATACACTCTTTCCAAACAATATAATAAGACCCCTCCTTTATCTTTGAAAAAGTTTCCTGTTTCACTTGAATGATCTTCTTCATCATTTTCTTGTTTCAGATCACCATTGCCAGATGCCAGTTTTTGGTTTCCCGGTTTTGGTTCTGGATTTCGTTCTGTGCCAAATTCCCATAATATTGGTGCAAAAGTGTTGTTAGGTGATTTCATTAGGTGTTCAATTTTGAACCTTGGTTTCCTACCTGACTTGCTTTCATAGTGGATATTCTTTGTTCTTATTAACTTTGCTAATTTATCGCGGACATCATGTCCGCGAGTAATGAAATAATGATGTGATAATATATCTGAACTAGGTCTCTTTTTGGGATCCTTCACCAAACAATATTTGACAAAATCTTTGATATTTTCACTGAAATCTACTCCACAAAGGAGAGGAGGTCTCTTTTTTGGTATTTCAAACAAGACTTTCAAAGGATCATATTCTGATAATGGAGGAGACCCAGTGACCAATTCAATGGTGGTAATGCCGGTTGACCAGATATCAGCCTTCTCATCATATCCGCTTTCTTCTGTTGTCCTTGATCTAGTGATTACTTCGGGTGCCATCCAGAAAGGTGTGCCAACAAAAGTATTTTTTTTCAATCTTGTCATTGTAATTTCTCCACTAACACCAAAATCTGCCAATTTAATATCTCCTTTTTCAGTTAGTAATATGTTTGCCAGTTTTATATCACGATGAACTTTATGTTCTGAATGTAAATATTTTAAGCCACTGAGGACACCCTTGATTATGTAACTAACAACATCTTCTTCCAACTTTTTGTGAAACCTTAATAAGTCAGCACAAGACCCACCCCCACAATACTCCATAACTATGAACATATTGTATCCTTCTAGGAAACTTTCAATGTACTGTATTACAAAAGGATTTCTTAATTTTGACAAAAAGTGTATTTCTTGGATAATCTGTTTCATTTCTTCAGTGGATTCATCTAGGGAAACTACTTTGATTGCAACCTTATTTCTTTGCGTTAAATCAATTGCTCTGTAAACGTCTCCAAAGTTACCTCTACCAATGCATTTTTGGAAATCATACTTGAGTATCTGGTTTTGTATTTTATACGACATGCCTCAATTTTGATTTGGTTGGAATCTATTACTTTATAATTTGTTTGATTAAGCAACCTGAATGTTAATGATTTTATGGAGAATAAGATTTGTATATACTACTATATTTGATTATGAATTATATTGTAGAATATTATTTAATATTATTTGTGGATAAACTCACAAATGGTAGATTTTTTTTGGGCTATCTTTGCAAACAAAGAAATTAATTTTGCAGCAATCGAAAAAAAAAATAAAGATTGATTTTTTATTTTCTAAATTTATTAAACTATTAATTAATTAAGAAATTATTAAATTTATTTATTTATTAATCCTACAAATTAAATTTACAGCTATGGTGTTAGAAGCCCTCCACTTAATTTTAGACTTCTCAATTTCCAATATTCAAGTGCCTCATTGGTCAAACCTATCTCTTTATTCAATTCATGAGTGAGATCAACTTTACATCCATTCAATATCAATAGTTCAGAAATTACAAACAATTTCTTGGAATTTGTTAAAAACATGCTTTCATCTTTGATTTCAACGAATTTCCTCAAAGAATATTCAAATAGCGAGATCACTAGGTATTCATTCTTATTTGGAATATTAATTTGAATATTCACGTTTACGTCCCCTCCACATAAAATATTCTTCAAGACACCATGAATATTGATTCTTTGAATAGATCTAATAAGCAAGTTGTTGACATCGGGTATTATCGACTTGTATTTCTTGAGTACATATTTGTTTCTGATAAAAGATAATCGCTTCTCATTTACTGTATCTGGTTGAATTTTTTCACCTGGAGGCATGTTTTCTTCTAAAAATGAATTCACATAACGATTGTTTGTATAACTCAACAACATTTCTAACTCGTTTTCAAATTTATCAAGCTTCAAAGATCTAATTTTTGTAATATGGGAACCAATACTTCTATGACATGAGGCACATTGAACGCAAAAGCACGATAAAGTATTGATTGATATCCATTCTACCAGCTCAGTCGAGTTACAATCAACACATTTATTATTATCACTATCAGGTATCGATTTCACAAGATTGAAGTAGTCCTTCTCCAAAATAGTTGTTCTTGAGGTAATGGAAACAGGAGAAATAGATCGATCCTTGGATTGACCTGGGATAACAGGCTTCTCGACAAGGTCTGTTATTAGCCTTCCTAAATTCTTTCTCTTGTCAGTAACTTTAAACTGATTTCCGGAAGCTTTGTTCTTCGAATATACTGCATCCAATCTTTGCGTATTCACAACTTGGGCTGCATTATACAATGCTTTGATCCATTTAGTTCTTTCGTCTTCATTTATTGCCTGAAACACATTTTTCGTTCCTCTGGAAGTTAGAATCTCAAAGCAGAATTGTCTCTTGTCATACGTTATTGGTTTTACACTTGATAAAGCTACCTCGATTGGCTTGTTTAAAGGCTTTTTTCCTTTCCTCCAATCAGCATATTCGGTAAGTTGACCTTTCTTCAATACAACCCATTCCTTGTGCCATCCTTGCTTCCCTTGTCCACCTAAAGTAAAAAGAATTCCCGTCATTTCAGAATCGCTAGTCTGTGAAACTGTTTCGCTAGGAGGGTGGCTATCGGAAAATATCAAATCAATGTTTTCGTTGGTGATTACAAATTCGTCTATAGTTGTTGTGATGCTATCATCGGAAGCCACATGTTTAGCTGGCTTCATCTGCTTATGATTTAACGTATTGTATCTTATTAAGGTTGTCAATTCTTCATTTGAAGTACTGGCTTCAATCATTTGTCTAAATTTATATTTTTCACTATTGAATCTAAGTAATGCATGGAGATAGGTCTTATAATTTCCACCAATCAAATCTTGACTTTGTTTCTTGTCTTTATATTTGGCGAACTCTAAGACTCGTGGATTCTTAACATCATATCTCAAGTGGATGAACTTGAAAAGATTCTCCCACAATACATTAACATACTGATTGTTTGTTGTTTTACTCAAATGGTTCAAGTAATCAAACTTGGACATCTCAAAAGCCTTTCTCTTTAATAGCAACTTCAGCTCAGGCCTTTCCTTTTCATTGGACAAGTATTTGTTTAGCCAGCTGTAATATTCCTTTGAGTCGTTTTCAAATTGCTTTTTGCTTTGAACTAATTCATTGTGATTTGACGGAGAATTAGAAGCTGAAGAACTACCAGAACTTCCAGTTGAATCTTGGAGCGTGGCTAAATTATGAGCTAATTTGTTGAATAATTTAGCATCACAAACTTCATTAAGGAAAAAACTCAAATTAGCTTCAAATGGATCAAATATTGACTTGAATATAAGCAGAAAGTTAAGCATAAACCCAAAATCCTTTAATAAAGAATTCGATTGAAGATCAATTAATGCATTTATACCTTCAATTATCCTCATTTTGGAACTAGAAAACTTTCTCAACCCTTGTTCCAAATTTTTAAACTCACCGATAAGTGTAGAATAAATCTTCTTTGCACGAGGGATTCGGTCTTCATAATAGGCCAATGTCTTCCGAAACTCGGGCCCATCTTCAATATTGAAATTAAATTCTCTTCTGAAGTCCCCCACGTTAAACAATCGATCCTCTGGCTTGTTCAGAATGGGACTTCGTGTTGGAGACTGATCCTGTAGGTTAGCTGGAGATACAAGGTCTTCCTTTGGAAAGTCATCCACCCAAAATCCAAAGTTTAACAAATACTCGTATTCATTGGTGGCTGGGTCGTTCTCCCATAAAGATATATTTAATTTGGTATTTCTAATTGCAGCATTATCAAACAGGTCATTAATTATTAGTTTTTGGAAATTTTCATCATCTTCATTAAGTGGCAATTTATCAAAATCTATTTTGGATATTTCTATCATTTCATCAGTGCAACTATCATCATATAGGTGATGCTTTAATGTTTGAATATCATAATTTCCAGTGGATTTCACAATTATAAGGGATCTCTCTTTGAATCTATTAGTTGGTTTTATTAGAACATGAAGTTTTAACTTGTGCAATGCCGGATTGACTTTAATTAACAATGGGAATTCATCTTTCTCTGAAACATCAGGGTTTTCAATATAATGGGTAAGATCTCTTGTTGCTTGATGGGAATCAGAATACTCCATCTCGATTGACTCAATCGCTTTGTTGTCATGTAAAGATATACTCCTACGAATTGACGACGGCTCATCAGTCAATACTAATTTTTTCAAGCTGACATGGCTATTGCTCAATTCGCAATATGGAAATGATATACGACGTAGAGTCTCCATTTGATGTGTTATATTTTAGACAGATGTGTTACTATATGATGGAATGAGTTGCACTGTGGTGTTTGTTTTACAAATCGTGACATCGCAATTTTTTTTTTTGCCAGCCCTAAAGATCTAGGCAGGAGAATTGCACACGAGAGATCGGTAAGAATAGACTACTTCAAACTACTGGTTTTTCGATATAAAGAGATTCTAAGAATATAGGACCTTCTATTTACCTCGCAGAGACTGACTCGTTCAAATCTCCTTTCATTTTGTAGTAAGTAATCGTGTGTGTATCTGCTTATCAAAAAGAGTGTGTGATACAGCCACACCTTTCTGCGCAGAAGAAAAAAATCAGCTTGCTTTCCACAAAATAAACATTGTTAAAGAATATAATTACTTTATCAACCCAAAAAACAATCTTATTCGGAGCTACTGCTGTCTATCATGTAAAAAATAGCAAAAAATATGCGATTTCTGTGGATCGAACACAGGACCTTCAGATTAAACTGTGACTGAATCTCTTCAGTCTGACGCTCTCCCAACTGAGCTAAAACCGCTTCAAGAACCCATGGCGGGAGTCGAACCCGCAATCTTTTGATTAGAAGTCAAACGCGTTAACCATTACGCTACACGGGCTTCTTGTTGAGTTTAATTTTCCAAACTTTTCCCGGTCCGTGATTTTCACGTGACTTTCAGATGACTTTCACATGACTTTCAGGTGATTCTCGTGTGATCTTCACGTGATTTAACAATTCATTGTTGATATTTTTTTTACATATACAATCTGTTTATTGAGTTCATATACATACTAATATACAGAAATATAACAAACAGAAAAACAATATACTGTAAAGGCAAAAAGCATCATTGCCTAAAACCTCATTTCAGAACCATCTTAGAGATTAAGTGTATAAGTATAAGACGTAGTATAAGGAATGTTCAAACTCATCACTAGTTTTGTTGCTGGGCTCATAGAATACCGCATTGAGCAAAGATTGCTAATGTTTACTTCTCTTTTACTAAGATTAGGATTTGTTGGTGAAACAGAGAAAAGAAAGTATTTGAAGTTAAATTACCTAAACCAAGGTTGTTCATTTGTAAGATAAAGCTTTTTGTATTTCTCTTATATTTTTGAATTTCTTATGTTTCAAATGAGAAGTTTAAGTGATTATACTTTGGAAAGCATTATGATCAAGCGCTACCAGTTGTCCAAAAGAACCCACCGACGATGTTCAGACGTAATTAATATGAGGACAAACAACTTGGAAATTTCTTATGGTGGACATTATTTTGGGGCTGGATCCATAAAAGGTTCACAGATTGTATAAACAACATGGGAATGGTATTGTCATATCATTTAATGTACTTTACCTGGAATCTATTCTGGTAGTATTTCGATTTTATTCTAGAGAGAGCACTGTTGTAAGACCCCTTTTTATCCTCAGGATTGGATCCGTTACCCTAACTCCATTCTAATTGAATGGTGGAAACATTATTGGAAGTTTTTGACACTAGTACGTATTGCTCGAATGTTCATTTTGTCGATACTGATTTGCTCCAAGACGGTGGTGAACTGTGAGATCATATGATAATGGAATTTAACTAAAAGTAAGTTAGAGCTTTTGATCTTCAAATTACGGACTTTTATCTTTCCTTCATTCTAAATCGATTGTATTCATTCGAAATGGCTCTTGGATTATATAAAGTTTGGGTGCAAAAAATCTCATGAAATTTGGTGAAAATTTTGTTAATTGTTGCAAAAAAATTATTTACAATATTCTTTCAAACGATTCATTACCTAACATTCAGCATACTATAGCATTTTGTACTCCTAGAGAGTTTCCACTTCTTAAATAGAAATATGACATTATTCCATTTCTAAAGAGCTTTTATAGTCTTGGGGTTATAATTTTTTTTTTTACATACACAATCTGTTTCTTGAGTTCTTATATTATTTTCACAAGATATGGATACTATTAACGGCTCGAATGCAATAGGACGGTTATACTTTGAGGACAGCAAACGTTACATTGATCTCCTTTACTAGCCTAAGTATCGGATAAACACCAAAATTAAAAGGACTAGAAAAGGAGAGGTGTTTAGGGACGATAATTATTTTGTTGACACATGCAAACATTCTTGCGTTCTCCAATTTGCAGTTTACTCTGAAAATTGGATTGAATTTAATGAATAGATGCGACAATATGTACAATTCATCAGTTTCATCAGCCTCCGCCTTTTCGCAGATCGCTTGATTTTACCATCATCTTATAATAATACTCAGATTTCTATAGTATCTAAGTTTAGAGACGGTTTCACAGTCGCTTCAATTCAACAAATTGTAAATAGGCACCACTTTTACTCAGATTAGACGTCTGGTGGTGGTCCAGAATATGGCATAGTTGCAATGTTGAGAGAACTTTTGTTGGGTTTTCGTCGCGCATAACCAGATCAACACTGATGTGGTATTTGATCAGATCCAAAAAAAAACATTCGATCGAAATCGACTCAGGGCTCAAAAAGGACCCTATAGATATTTCTTAGCTAGCAGAAAGGCGGAGGTATCCACAATAATAGGTCCGAAGAGCTGGGATACTCTCCTTGAATGCTGAAATGCGTTTGTCGCCCGCCCAAAGTTGAGCTAATTTAGAAAAATTTGTGGAAATGGGCAAAATAACGAAAAACTGCCTGGTTGTATAGTGTAGTGGTTATCACTTTCGGTTTTGATCCGAACAACCCCGGTTCGAATCCGGGTACGACCTGATTTTTTAATTTTTGCTATTTAATACAACAAATTTACACAAAATTAGATTTGTTGGGATTCATTACGTTGACGGAATCCACGAGATTGTACTCAGTTATTTTGGTAATCAGTAAGAGAGAATGACTGAAGGAATTAATGAGTTTGTCAGATTGAATAACTTCCGACAGATCAAGAACCGAACTATTTCCGAGGTTTTTTCGGTCAGTCTTTTTTTTTTGTAAAATCTGCCAACAAATTAAAAATTAAAAATTTAAGTTGAAGTGTATTGTCGGCAAGTTTATTTTAGTTTTTGTGTCCCCCACTTTGTATGTTGTCTTCAGTTGATCCACACAATTTTTTTTTTTTCTTACGTGGTGGGTGTTTATAAATTTATTAAAATTTCTCCTCCTCCTCCTGTTAATTACATAACCGAAATGGATAAGATACTCTTTTTTTTTTAAATCCACGATTTTTGTTTACAAACTTTTTAGTAAACCTTCGAGATCAGATTAACCCAAAATCTAAATTTAATACTGATTTAACAACAATAGACTAAGAGAATTGAATTCACTTTTAATTAGATCATGTCATTTATAGAGAAATATATGCCCTCAATGTCTGAGGATCCCCTTGCCAAGTATAGACCCTTTCCGGCTGAGCCTACTTCGGTTTTCGCTGCTCATTGGCATGAATTAGTAGGTTCATTTATATTTTATGTAATAATTCAAGCATTATCCGATCCAATATTTTCAAGAATTATGGGAACACGGTATACTTCTTTACCTAAAAAGGTTAAGATCAATTTTGATATTCATGTGGTATCTATGGTTCAATGTTTTGTTTCAATCAGTGTTCTTGTCCCACATTTATTCAATTCTCATTATCTTAATAGAGTAGAGGATCCAGTGGGTTCTCTTAAAGGAACAACTCCCTTTGGAGGAATGGTATGCGCCCTCACAGTTGGTTATTTTGTTTGGGATGTATATGTTTGTACTAAATATTATTCGATTTTTGGCCTTGGGTTCTTATTTCATGGATTTGCTGCGATGTATGCATATAGTTGTGGATTTATTCCATATTGTCAACCATGGGCAGGTCCATTCTTAGTATTTGAATTGAGTACTCCATTTGTTAATATTAATTGGTTTGCATCCAAATTACCTGCTGGAACTTTTAGTGAGAAAACTATCATTATCAATGGATTATTATTAATTGCCACTTTTTTCACAGTTCGTATCCTTTGGGGATTTGCTATGATCTATAAACTTGCAACTGATATGTTTAATACCTGGCATTTAGTACCTTGGTTTGTGCCACTGTCAATGTTGGTTCTTAATTTCTTTTTAAATTGTTTAAATGTATTTTGGTTCCTGAAGATGGTAATGATTGCAAAGAAAAAGGCAGCTGGTAGAGAAACTACTTTGCAAGCGGCAAGAGAAGCTGATAAGATCGAATAAACGGATCTTACCTGTTTAGAATAATATGACTTTCGAAGATTTAGAGAGAAATCATTCTCTCCAATTGTAAAATTGTCAATGAGACATACGAAACTTAGAGAAAAGAGAATATAAATACGATACTCTATGAATATATTTAGACAGTCCGAGGTATATACATATATAGAATAGGTAATGTAGTACAAACTCTTTATCTCAAAAACCCCATTGTAGTCGTGTATAGTGTACCAATTGTGAATGAAATTGTTTCACAGTTTACTACGGCTATGGGAACAATACAATACAACCGAAAAAATAGTGACATAGAGAATTGTACAGCACACAGAACAGCAGAGCTCGTAGGAAATCACAAAACACGAGATTAGTTTTTAATTTAGTACCACGATAGACTGAGTGACAGTGGTGGGCAGTAGAAAAAAAAAAAATACGACAATCCCGAAATTAGAAATTTACACCGTTTTCTTTTTTTTTTCTTCTTCTTTTGAATCCTTTTTCTTTTAACACATAAATTTAACTTAACTTAATTGATTGATTGGTTTGATAGATCTTAATACAGAAACAACATACAACAACAACAACTATCAACGTTAATTTTAATAGAATAATTAAGAGATTAAACTATTTTACCCAATTAAAAAAGTAGACTCATATATTTTTAACAACAACAAAAAACTGTTTACTTTTTTCCCTCCTTTTGCCTTCCTGTTTGAAACGACAACATCATCAATCCCTTATTATATAAAGCATAATCAAATATGAATAACGAATACGACTATTTATTCAAATTATTATTAATCGGTGATTCCGGTGTTGGTAAATCCAGTTTATTATTGAGATTTGCTGATGATACATTTACTCCAGATTATATCTCAACTATTGGAGTTGATTTCAAAATTAGAACTATTGAATTAGATGGAAAAACAATCAAATTACAAATTTGGGATACAGCTGGTCAAGAAAGATTTAGAACAATCACATCATCCTATTACCGTGGTGCTCATGGTATCATTATTGTATATGATGTTACTGATCAAGAATCATTTAATAATGTCAAACAATGGTTACAAGAAATTGATCGTTATGCCACAGGTGGAGTAATGAAATTATTAGTAGGTAACAAAGCCGATTTATCCGATAAGAAGATTGTTGAATATACTGCTGCTAAAGAATTTGCTGATGCTTTAGATATACCATTTTTGGAAACCTCAGCACTTTCATCTACAAATGTTGAACAAGCATTCTATACCATGGCAAGACAAATCAAAGCTCAAATGACTACTGCAGCAGGTAATACTGGTAACGCTAAGGGTAAGTCAAACGTCAACTTAAGAGGTGAATCCTTAACATCTAACCAATCTAGTGGGTGTTGTTAAAATATATCCCCTTATTCATTTATTAATACAGTCTACTTTTTAATTCGTTATCATTCATCATTTTGTAGAAACATATTCCCGAGCCATGCACCACCCACTTCTCGCTTCTGCTCCCTCCCCCCACAGCAACTACACTCTACAAAGCTATTGGTTAATTAATTTTTTTTGTTTGTTATCATTTATTACTATTATGTTTCTGAGCTTTCTTTTTAGGGTATATCGATATATATTTGAATGTCTATTCTTTGTACATGTATAACATATATATAAGTAAAAATCTTTCTAACGAACAAGGTAGATATAATATTGAACATAAAGAACTCCTTCATTATCTCTAGCAAATCTTCCTCTTCCAAAGAAATGTTCTTTTAAAACCCACTTGTATTTATCTTCAGCTCCTTCATCAAATTGGAAAGTTGGAGTGTTTGAAACAAAACTATCTTCAATAGAAGCAGTTTGGGATTTCTTCAGGAGTACTGCAACTGACGCATCATTGAATTGAACTTTTCCTCCATAATGAATAAAAACACCAGATCCATTAGCAGTCTTTCCATACAATTTACAATCTAAAGAAGCAGTATTGGCAGAAATCTTAACTGATAAGTCATCAGTACCAGTAAGACCAGTAACATCCAATTCTAAACCTAAACTATTTGGAACTGTACTAACTTCACCATCAGCAATGTGGGCTAAAGTTAATGATTTATCAGCGGATGCATCAGTATAGATTAAGGTTGGATCTTGAGCAAGTTTTAAATTAAAGGTGAAAACTGGGATGAATTCAGCTGCGGATGGAATTGGTGGGACTGATAAGTTAATACTAGACATTTTGTAAAACGGTTTTGATAAGTCAATTGAGATAGAGATAAAGAAAAGGAGGGACACAGGTGGGAAAAATTGACAGTATTTATAGAGTGTCTCGGAGTTTTATTCGCCGGAGTTAGAACACCGTAAAGAAAAATTCTGTCATGAGAATTAAGATTTCCTTGGGAGGAGAAGAAGTGTGTAGCTTTGCCAACATGCCACCTTTTATACAGGGAATATTCCCCTCTACACTGACAAGGGAATATTCCCCTCTAGATTGACAAGGGAAGACTGTATTTCATTAGACTCGTGGTTGTAGTCTAGATTAAATAAGTTGGCTGAACAATTCTAAGCCACTTCAAAGCTTCGGGACTATAATTACTTTAGTTTAAACTCTTCCCAATAGGTTTTATATTCTAAGCACGAGAGATAACAAGAATCAACTTAACTGGCCACACTTACCCATAGGCTCGAAAGACATGTATAAGTAAAACGTGTCTTCTAGAATCTTATATAGATCCAAGAAAACACAAAGAAAATGAAAATTAAAACAGGAAACGATTCAAATAGTGACTTAGCCAGGTACTAATCCTTTCAATTACGTACGATCTTAAAATTATTTTCATTTAATGAATGGGTCAACTCTCGACTAATTAGCCAACTTTGTAACAATAAAAATATACACGTAAAGCCTTTCACTGGTAACTGGTTACCTGGCAACAACTTCCCAAATCTTGTATATGTCGGAAGCGACACAAGCCAACTCTTTCTGCCTCCAAATAGTGAACCTTCAATTGGTTGCAAAAACATCGTAAATTGCATCCAATAAATTATTCTTGGTCGTGTCTGATGGCACAAAAAAATACCTGGTGGCAATTCTGAAAAATCCTGAACAAAAAAAAAACCAACTCAATAATCATCTTTCAAATTCAACAACCCCAAGGAGGCAGCCTAATAAATCAAAATATCATAAAAAAATGGCAGAGGATAAAGTAGAAGATGTTCACATGAAGGATGCAGAAGAAGTAAATTCATCAATTACTGAAGCTGAAAATTTAGTTAAAGAAATTGAACAATCGTTTACTTTGTTAGGAAAAGCTGCCACTTCATTTGATAATAGATACATTTCCAAAGTATTCCGTGATTTAGGACCATTGAGAAGGAAGTTGGTCCAGAATGAAACAGTATTACCTACTGTTATAAAGGGATTATATCCTCATCAACATTCCTCAAGAATGTATTTATTACAATTAGTTGGAGAAGAAGAAGGAGGGGATAATGTCAATAAACAATCAGATGATGAAATGGATGTTGATAAATCTATAATTCCAGAAGTTGAATTATATGTGCATCTTCTTGTTCAAGTTTATCTTTTAGATAAAGAAAAATTAACCGAATTGAATCAATTAAGTGATATTGTTATAAATTTAATGAAATCATTCAACAAACGTTCTTTAGATTTTATTCAAGCAAAAGTTTGGTTTTATGTATGTAGAGTTAAGGAGTTATTAGGTGATTTACAATCTGTACGTGCAGCTTTATTATATGGATTAAGAACAGCCACTTTAAGACATGATATTGAAACTACTGCATCCATCATAACTCTTTTATTAAGAAATTATTTGTTATCTCATGATATTAGTCAAGCTTCCAATTTGGTTGAAAAGGTTGAGTTCCCAGAAAATGCAGGAAATGCATTAGTGGCAAGATATTATTATTATTTGGCCAGAATAAATGCTATTCAATTAGATTATTCTACAGCCCATGAATGTGTTATTGCAGCTATAAGAAAGGCTCCTCAAACTCATTTATCCAACGGGTTTGTTCAAGCAGCTACTAAATTGAATATAGTGATTGAATTGTTAATGGGTGATATTCCAGAATTGAAAACTTTCAAGAATAAGTCAGGCAATTTTGAACCATATTTCTATGTTACTAAAGCTGTCAAATTAGGTGATTTGAATTTATTCAGTGAAGCTTTAAAGAAATATGAATCTGCATTTAAAAAAGATGATAATTTTACCCTTGTTTCAAGATTACGTCAAAATGTTATAAAAACCGGTATTAGAATCATTTCATTATCTTATTCTAGAATTTCCCTAAAGGATATTTGTATTAAATTACATTTAGATTCTGAAGAACTGACAGAATATATTGTTTCAAAAGCAATTAGAGATGGAGTTATAGAAGCTACTATTAATCATCAAAAAGGATATATGCAATCCAATGAATTATTAGATGTATATCTGACTAAATTACCTCAATCTGAATTTGATCAAAGAATTAAATTTTGTTTGGCATTACATAATGAAAGTGTTAAATCTATGAGATATCCTAATGATAATGATAAAGAAAATATAAATAAAGAAGTTGAACCAAGTGAAGAAATTGAATTATTAAAAGCAATTGAAGAAGGTGACTTAGATGACTTTATGGATTAGGTCTATCCTCTTTTGAGTTTGTAGTAGTTAGTAATACATAAACCGTATTAACAGTAGTCATAAAGTTGATCTGTAGAGAGCATCTTCGAAGGGAAAAATGAAATTTTATTTTTCTCCATACTAAAATTCTTTGACAACACTGCTCTTCATTCCACAATATTAAACAACAAGACAGACCAAATAGTCAATAATGTCCAATGGGGAAGGCTTTCATATAGATCTTGAATTGAACAAATATACTGGAGGTCATAGTGATCCATTTATTCATGATGAGTATGTATACGGCAATACTTTTGTTTTGATTAAATTTAGTCACATTTTTTACTAACCAAAAACCACAATCCAGAGACAAACTAAATCTAGAAGAATTAATCCCAAGGATATTAATTGAAAGAAAATCATTCCTTAACATTACTGAGGATTCATTAAGGGAAGAGATTGAAAATGAAAACAACTCCTTTGGTGAACCTTCGCAAGATGGAGATGTCATACTAGCGTCACCACCTACAACATCATCATCAGAAGAACCATTACTTGCACAAGATGATCCTCAAGAAATATTTAATAAACAAAAAGTGGAACTTTCCAAACAGATAAATAGTGCTCTTAATGAAACCTCATTATCATTAGACTTTGTATCCCTTTTAATGGCTTCTGTGAAGCCAAATTTAACCAGATCAACGATGTCCCCTCATTTATCTAAGTTTGTCAAACCAGGCTCTCTTAATGCCGATAGGCTTTCAGTTCAAGATGCAAATGAAGATGAAGAGAATCAACATAGAGACGGAGAAATATCTCATTATAAAAATTCAACGAAAATCGGACAAGGCTGGAAATTAGAATCATTAAATAAAATTACTAATTTATTTCGACAATCAAGTGTTAATTTGAATGAACAAGTGCTTAAAGAACGAAGATATTGGAATATGATTAATTTGGTGTTGTCTAATGATGAGATTCTTTTCCGTATGAGGGATCCTGTTAGTAATGCAAGAGCAATTGGGGTTAGATATGGATATGGTGATTCAGGATCAAATTTTCATGATAAAGGATTGGCATTGCTTCGAAAGGATACATTAACTGGAGATATATCGTTTCACCCTATATCATCTTATTCTAAAAAGATTGTTCAAAAAGTCTATAAATATATTAGAATTCGAATTCTTAGTGAAATTGATGGTGATTATATGTTAACTGGACAATCAGTTTTTGAATTCAATTTTTCAAAAAGTCAACAGAATATTATTAATGATATTGAAAGGGCAAGATTTTTCTTATTTGAAGAAGATTTATTTTACCAATTGACTAGAGAAGCTAAGATTTTGATTAATTATAATGTATCTATAATTTCCAATAAGATTATTATTGAGATAAACAATGAAATCATTGAAATTGAATCAGTGGTATATGATGAATTGAATGACGAGGAATTACAAAACTATTACCAGAATATCAGTACTTTCTCTTCAATTAATAATACAAAATGTCAACTATTATTGAATTATCTCAAACTTATGCTTTGTTGCTATTATAAGTATAATTTGAAATTAAAACAAAAGGTTCCTACTTCATTAACGAAATGGAAACAATTTAACTCACATCCATTAATATTACGTCCTTTATTAGGAAATATGAGACATGAATTAAATCTTCGAAATATGAGGGAGATTCTTAATAGACTTTTAAAAAAGTATCATTCTACTATAGAGTACAAATTGGAAATGAATAAATTTACCAATTTAAAAACAAGATCAAGAAATCCATTCCAAAAATCAATCGAGAAGCCAGTTTCAGAAATCCATTTGGTGGTAAAGAATAATCAAGCTAATATTCTTAAAATCGGATTGGAACTAACTACCAATGAGATATTTGTTAATTTAATTATTAATCTCAGTGTAATTAGATTCCAGAATAATGATGATTTTGAAAAGAATATTAATGGGGTAAATGTACTTCAAATTGGATTCAATGATTTCAATGAAATTGACGAATGTATAGATTGGTCAATTCAGAACTTTGTCAATTAAGGCCGCGTATGGGTCTATTTATAAATGTATAATTTTGCTAAATATGTAATACTACTACTAACTAACATACACTACTCATCTTCTTCAATGACTCTGACTTGTTCATCGTGGGCTCTTTGCATAGCTTCAGCATTTTCTTCGACAAATTTCTTCATTCTATAATATTTCTCATCCCTTAAGTTATTAAAGATCAAAAAGTTGAACCAAACTTCCAAAAATGCAAATGTAATGACTAAACTATTGCTTACCATAGAAGTTGGAACGAAATAAATATATCCAGCCAAAATGAAATATCCTGCTAATCTAATTGGAACTAAACTTTCAAAATACGCAAAATTTTGTGCAAGTAATGGAATAACATCCCCGATAGCTAATGAAGTGAAAGTCATTGCAGTTATCCCCAACATTGGATTTGATTTAGATAATTGCACTAATGGAACTTGCATTGCTTGTCCCATTAACACGACAAAACCAGCAGTACATAATCCTTCTGGATCAGTAATTAGATAAAAGACAATTGTTAATAGGAAAACAACTCTTATATAAAGTAAAGAATTAGCTGATAGGAATTGCATCTTTTGATAATAGTTTTTCAGTATTCGATGAACAGATTGAAAAGTGAAGATCTTGAATAGGATTATTTTTTTTCCTTCATTCTTGACTACAGTACGCATTAAAATAAAATTATACCAACAGGGATGAAGTGTTGCAAAAAAACTCATCTCAACGAATAATCTTCATCCAGTACCTCAAAGCAAGAACCACCCCCATCCCAATAGTTAACTGCTTATACGGGCCAAGGAATTGGTCAATCCAATTGATTGACACATAGACGATAGCCACTTAGACAGTAACTGGAATTCTCATAGGGCTTTCTTCTTGGAAGAAGGGCTTACTACTGCTGACTCAAGAGCTACTTCAGATTATAACCAAGAAATATATAGAGAAGCCGAAATAAGGACATCATATCATGCTTGCAATATCTTCAATAACAATGGGTATTATTGCGTCTATAATCATCTTCTTTCTACTTCTGATTTGTATGTTTAGAATCCCAATTGGTTGCAAACATTTTATACTTACTAACAAAAAAACAACTTTCTAGGTCTAATATTAATACCATTATTTCTTATCTTAGAGATAGTCACGGGTACGTTCTTTGTGATATCATATCTTATTACCAATGAAATTACAGAAGGAACCAATTTGGATGGTTTATTGTTTTCTTAGATCTTTGTGACTTGTATGCCCCCCCATAAGGGTGAAAGTACCGGTGTGCATATAAGGATCTGGGTTTTTTTTTCACTCAAGCTTTGGGGCCACGTCAAAAAAACATTGAATTGGAAGCAAACTCAAAGATTTCTTAGAGGAAAACACAACCGGTAGAAGAAACAATCCAGTGTCAATTACATTACCAATGAAGTTTATATTCACTGTATTTATACTCAATGCCTTGACGGCATTAGCATATTCGAATTTGGAGGGATATGTCAAGATAGGAAAAAACAAAGTATCCTTTGGAGAAATTGAAACCCAAGAAGTTAAACAATTATTCATTGATTCCCCAAGAGATTTCATTGATGTTTCATTAGAATGCAAAGACATGACCAAGAGACCGGACCAAGTAGTATTATCATTGTCTGATTTTTCTGATCCAAGTTTAGTTACTCATTTCGTTCCAACTGTTACTGATGAAAAGATTCGTACTTCAATTAAGGCTGTTACACTCCCAGAAGTATTAAAGAGTAAAGACAAACTCATTTTACAAATAATTATTGCTGATTCTACTAGTTCAAAAAATTTATACAGAAAATTGGTGGAAATTTTCCCAAGTCCTGAATTTCAACAGTCAAGTAACTATAAACCAAAGGAAAGATTGGGAATTCAACCAGAAATTCATCATATTTTTAAACAAGACGAAAAAGACGTTAACCCAGTTATTCCAGTTGCATTCATTGGTATTTCAATTACCCTCTTTTTCGTATTTTTAGGAACTTGGTTTCGCCACGCTGGAAAAGAGTTACTTCCTACTTTGAAGACAATTAGTTGGAGTCAATTGACTTGTAATATTGTATTTTTGATTTGTATATTCGGATTCGAATTGAACTTTGTCATGTATTACTTGGGTCAATCAATTTTCACTACCTTATATTACGGGGCTGTTTTAAGTGTTGCTACTGTGTATTTCGGTGTACGAGTATTAAGAAGTTTAGCTCAAAACCGTGTTTTGGGTAAGTAAAACTTGCAACGATACAAAGATTAAGCCACCTTCTCGAGTGTGTTTTAAATGAAAACATACATAGAATTTAAATATGATATGTACAGGTAATAAATAGTTTTTGCGAAAGATATGTATCCATCTATAGATCGTTCATTTCTCGTCAGTAAAGGTATTTGTAATTCGCCTAAAATTGAAAAATCCCTTGAGACCATCATCCATCGAGTTGGCACCAACTATTTTCCCAGTGATTAACCCCATTGGAAGTACGGAATATGATCTAGAATCCAACGAATGACACAAGTTGTCTCCAGTACACCATACATGACCTTCAGGTATTCGGATATATTTATTAAATCCATCATGCTGTATAACGTCTGCCGAGGAATTTGTTAAAAATGAAGAGGACGAAGGGTCAACCAATACAATATCTCCAGGCATCCCTGTCACTCGTTTACATACTCTATGTTCTGGATCACTTGGTTTCATAGCTACTATCATATCTCCCATCTCGACCCCTCTTCCTAATTTATATTTTTTGAACGTATGAACAAAATCATTCTGATTATGTAAAGTGGGTAACATAGATTCACCTCTTGTTTCTGTAAATTCGTAAACATTTTCATGTACTAGATGAGCAAGACATCCAGCTCGAAGTGTCCAAGATAATGTGGAAACCACGAACAGCACAGAATTGGGGAACTTCATTGGTTGTTGATATAAAGAAAGAGAACTGAGATTTGGGAGTTTTGATTTTTTTGCTCGCGCTTTCTTTACGAAACTTCACCTTTGATCCAACGGATCTCAAACAAGATGATAATTACTAAATCGACAAATAGGAAATATCAGAGATATGCCCAAAAGGCTCCTACTTCAATAAGATCAAACCTGTTCAGATTTCGCCAAAAAAATTATCCAATTAAGAACTAATGATACAAAGAATGTATGTAATATACATAAAAGAAAACTAACCTTCGCTTAATAAACGAAACCTAAGATTTTACCAGAGACGTGCTTTCTTCTAGCTTCTTCATGGTCCATAATACCAGCAGAAGTAGTTAAGATAACGTAACCGAATTGTCTAGCTGGTAATAAGTTATCAGTCCATCTTTCAATATCGTTAATTTTGACATTGAATCTTGGAGAAATAACACCACACTTGTTTAATCTACCATTCAATTGAACAACAATCTTACCAGATCTGTGATCATCAATGTATTCGAATTCACCAATGTAACCTAAAAATAAATTGTTAGTATTTCAAGACTTTTCTTGTTTAGAAATAAAAAAGTAACCCTTCAATATCACAGATGAAGATGTAAAGGAAAAGTAAACGAACTAAGATAATCAGTTACCCCATAAAAAGGTAATATCAAATTCGTGTAAGAAGCATTTCCAAATTATTCTTCCGAATACTTAAAAGACAGAAAGGGACGGGAAAAAAACCGACAAGCCATCCAGTTATCAATTCGGTGTATTAAAAATAGTTAAAGTAAATCATCTGTGATAGTTTTGGATAACCAATAAAGTGTACATACCATGCTTTTGCATAACAGTTAAAAATTTAATGATGACCTTAGAAGATGGTCTAATCAAAACTTGACGTTTACCAGTTTTTTCAGCATTATTAATAGCATTTAAAGCATCAGCTAAGACGGAAGTTCTAGTCATTTCTTCAATCAAAATGTTAGTAACAAAATCATCAACGACTTTTTTCATAAATCAAGATAATAAGAAAGCCACATGAGTGTCCAAGAAGACCAAGGAGTCATGAGCAAAAAATGATGATTCAAAAGGTGCACGGTATCAAATAATCTATTGGATAATTTGCTCTTGTTGAAAATTTTGCAAAGATTATCCATATTTCAATAATTTTTTGAAATAGACTAGTCTTACTGAAGTTTGAAAGGAAACACCTAATTCAAAATCTAGTAATACGTATTCATAGATATACTGATTCGTACACCAAAATAAAATCTCTTATGAAAAAGGTACGTCTGGGCTATGAGAAATACATAGCCTAACCTCTATGGGGCAATCTAACATCAACTTGGAGGGGATAGATGTGACATACTATATTATTATTATTATTATTATTTATTAAGGTGTTTTCTATAGAAACAGAAAGAAGAGTTTATGAAAAAGATTTTAAAGTGAAAAATTTTTCTTTACTAAATGCGAAATGAGAAATGAGAAATGTAAGAATCAATTTTTTTTTTCGGTGGTTTCACTTGGTATTAAATATACGCAATACAGGGTAAATGCAAGTATTGAATATTACTTACCAGAGTTCTGAGAATGACTTCCGTGTTGGAAGATGATGGTAATCTAGCACAACCTGGTCAAAATCTCTCTGGTAGGTTAAGATATGTTTTACATATTTAGTTCTTTTCAAGAAGGAGGATTTTACGAAAGTTCTGGCAAATAGTAACTCTAGTATTGAACCAACAACACTCTTTCTTGTCTAACGAGTCTCCTTTCAGGTTCACAAAAAGAGGTAAAGACTGCTTCTACAAATATACAAAGCTATCTGATTCTATACTGGATGGATTGAGTTGAGTTAATAGGGGAGTTTGCGTATGAAAATGTTTGCAATTCAATTTCTTGCAACCAACTTTTGGATGAAAAAATTCGTTGTGCGGCCACACCAAAACGATTTTAGTAAGATTTCAGTTTTTTTAGACCGGCCTCATATTCACAGGATTAACTTTAACTTCCAATTGAAAATGAAAAATGTCCAAAGCTCTAGAATCATCAACTTCAAAGGATGTAGAGAAGCTATCACAACTGCTTTTTATCAAAATCAAACCGCTTTGTATTGAACTTTCTCAAGAGACAACAGCTTCTGATTTCCAAAAGAACAGAATCTTATCATTGGTCATTTCAATCAAGAATTGTTTACAATCACATCTAAAGGAGAATCAGGGTGAATTTCCTATGTATCGGCTATCTGAATCAATAGCGGACTATGTGTTTTATCCGTTTTCAAATTTGTTACGTCTTCCAGAGTTGGATGATTCAATTGTACAACATTTATTATATGTATTGGGATTCTTGATGCAATATTCTTGGAGCTTCAATGTGAAATTTGAGTTGGTGGACCAATTGTTCCCATTGATCATATTCCTATCAGCTGGAGATTTGAAGACGAAACCTTCCCTGATAAGTACAAAGTCATCAGACTTTAAAGATTCAGCAGGCTATGCATTATCCGTGATCACTAGCCTAGTCGATCATGACTATTTTGGAGATTCAGATCAAGCCAAGCGTCTTTTATTTCTAAGCAACACAATTTCTGTACTGTTAGATATAATAGCAACTACTAGCCCGGATTCACAGGAAGGTGTTAAAATCATCACCAATTCATTTGAAACTATCATTCGCCTAACGAGCAATCTATCTCCAAGCAAGCAATCGCAGATTTTACCGGGGATAGTATCTTCAGTAGCGAATTTCGTTTCTAAGAACCCAAATATAAATCACCAGATAATTATACGAATTTTGAATTTATTGTCCAACATGATTTCCAGTTCTTTCAATGATAGAGAGTTACACACAAAGCTAGATATGGTGGAAGTAAATGATTTGAAGAATATCAATATTCAATGGAACCAAGATAGAGACTCTAGGATCAATGACTCCGATATATCAATTTCCATAACTGAATCTGATCATCGCACTTCGTCATGGATTAACGCCACTTCCAAACAACTAAAACTTGCATTAATACCAATTTTTAAGTCTATATTATTAGACTCGAGAAATAGACACAGGTGGAAAATGAACATAACTTTATATGAGTCGATTTTGCGACTTATAACGAAAATGTTGAAAAGTTGTTTCGTAACTTTATTTGCGGACTTTGCTTCATTGTTCATTGATATATTCTCCATTTTGACTTTTATAACATCCCATGACGACAACAAAGAAGATTTGGCAAAAGCCTATTCCTTGAGTAATTCAATGTGTTCATCTATCGAATCTACTGACGGTGTAGATTCTGAATTGGTCCTATTCAACCTTGTACAATCCAAACTCTCGGACTTAATAAACAGCAAGCTCCCTTCCCTTTTGTTTTCCACAGATGAAGACAAGATATCCATGAATATTCTTGCCATTCAGTTTCATTTCGTTTTGCTTGTCGATTTATCAAAGAAGGTACCGACTAACAGTGAGGTGGTCCATACGTTGAAGATGGAATGTTTGAAGCTGTTACACCAATATTTGATCCAAGGCTACGAGAGGGAGCACTCCAATGAACCCACTTCAACAATCAATTCCGATAAGATATCAACTCATGGCGAGTCTCACACAAGCAAATTAGATAATATCGAGCTACCTGGTTATATAAACACAGGAAATATCGTGAAGCAACAACATACAAAGAAAGTGTCAACAAAGTCTTATATCCACAACCTTCAGTTAATAGCTAGTAAGTGGAACGAATCAGATATTTCTACTGGTTCTAATGAAACCCTCGTTGGCGTTAGTTCAAGGTTTATAGAAGTTAAAGTGAAACAGCTTGTGAATTTTTTGTCGTCTTTAAAGGTTGAAAATACTGACATGTTACAGGATTTGGAGGAACTTATTGAAATGAATAATTCAGAAGATGAACTATTAAACAGTGGAATATCTCTTTGGATGGCTAGCAACTATTTAAGGGGAAATAATTACCAGACAACGGATAACTTCGATCCAGAAGAATATCTAATTTTAGAGGATGGTGAAGATAATGGTCTTGAGCAACTTGATAACGAGTTGGAGCATTCATATTTGATATTAGCAAAGGTAGAAGATCTCATATCAGAAATAGTCGAGAAGCCACTGTTGCAATTAAACGAGTCCAGTATAATAGCTTTCTCAGCAGCGCTTGATGCCGTGGATGCTGTCGTTGGCAGGATAAATAAAGTCCAATTTCAAAACGATTTTCTCATGGATTATCTTTTATCGTTGTTCCAAGCATTGACTTATAATGATTATCCCCAGATTCAGCTTCAAGCTCAGAGCACTTTAAGAACAATTTTAGCAACCTACTATGACAATTCGATGAAATCCTTAATAATGGATAACCTGGATTATTTGATCGATAGTATTAGTTTGCAAATGTCTGTTGCTGGAAGTTTAACTCCCACGCTTCCAGGTATTTTACTTATTATTGTCAAAGTCTCTGGTATCCAGTTATTGGAATCAAATCAACTTAATGATATTTTGACAGAAATGTTTGTAATCTTGGACGCTTACCATGGATACAATAACATAGTAGAAAGCTTCTTTATTGTTTTTGAATCGCTTATAGAACAGGTAGGGAATCATCATAGTACTTCGCTTGCGATAGAAAATGGAAATCTGTTTAAGGGGTCGTTGTACAAACCATGGGGAATAACCGATAAAGAGGCACTTTTGAATCTAATCTCATCAGCTGATAGAGTCATTGATCCTTTTGAGGGGTATAATAGCAACACAGAATATTTTACGAGACCCAAAGATGCACCGTTTTCAGAGAATCTTCCAGACTCAGATGACGAAGAAGAGGAAGAAGAGGTTGGAACCAACGAAGAACATGAACCACCGTGGGAATCGAATATTTCTAAGCATACATATTTTATTTTGCAACAAATATTTAATTATGGATTTTCATTGCTTTCGCAACCATCATATTCGTTGAAATCACAAATTATAAAAACCCTCCGTCAGATTTTCCCATTGCTCTGTACCAATTTTAAGTTGGTATTGCCAGTGGTAACTAGCAATTGGCCATTGATAACGACATTGATTTGCGGGTCAGAAAATCTTGCAATAAACATTCCTACAAAACCATACACTGCAACAGAAGATACCAGCTTAGTTATACAATCATTAGAATTTGCGACTGAAATCCTTACACAAGATACCATGCAAAAAGAGTTTTTCTTTGGTAGAAAGTTTCAAGAAACGTGGGATTTCCTTTCTAATCATTCAGGACTAATTCCAAAGGAATTACAGCATTCTGAAAAGGCTGACGAAAAACAGATTGCAATCATTTCGAAGAGTTTATCCTCTTTACGGGTCAATAAGAGACTAAAGGTTTCGCTTGTCAAGTTTTTGATCACAGGAGTGCAGAACTACGAAAGAAGTGTTCCTGACCTAACACGATTTCAGATTATTAAGTTGTGTCACCACCTTCAAATTCCAGAGAACATATATCTATCACGAGATACCCGGAGTATAATAGAAGTTTTACAGATTCGTAGCATTAATGCGTAATCGGATATAAGTGAATAATGTACATAGATGACCAATTATTTAACTGATAAACACTATAAAGCATCTAATCTTCTTCATCGTCGATAGTAACTAAATCATGTATTACTGCTTTTTTAATGGGTCTCTCTTCTCTAGGTGCCAGAGCCAGTTGGAAATTAAGTGTCTGTTGACCCTTAGCTAAGATATCTTTCTTTACAATAATAGGCTCAGCTGACTTTTCAACTGGTGCGATAACCGTTTGTGGATTATTAGTTTCAGGACCCTTAAGATTAACTTTCTTATTATTAATTAATTCACCAATGCTTTGTGTTTTTGGGACAGTATCACTTAAGAAATTCAACGAATCATGAGTTGATACAGCGTTGGCAAAATCCTTATATTGAATTTTCTTACGTTTTTCCATCTTTGCTAATAAACTTGCTTGTTCTACAAAGTACTGAACAAACAATTCAGTGGCCAAACCAGCAGTGTAGACGGCACTTTGAGAAGCTGCCAAATAGTCCGGGTCCATTTTAAATATACGTTTTATCTTAGACAACGGTAAAGATAGTGATTGATCTGGCTGTTCTTCGTCTTCTGAGTGTTTCTGTATTCCTTGCATTTCATCTTGATCATTGGCATTGTTCTGCGTTGTGTCTGCATCTTCCATTTCCACATCAACTTCAATGGGTGTTGTGCCAGCTGTAAGCACTGGGGACACAGTATCTGCTCTATTATCTATAACCTCTCCTATGTTGCTCATGCTTTATTTAGAACTGCATGTTCACCAGAAGTGAAGATGTTTTGTACAAGGAACAAAGAAAATAAATCAACGAAAAAGACGCTTCACCCTCGGATTGGAAAGCACGTGACTAAGCGGCCGGAATTTCACAGAAAATTTTACAGACAGAAGCAATATCTATTAACTATGTACAGAAACAGAATCTTTAACCAATATTCCAACTTAACTTTAATATACAAATACAGATCCGATTTGAGGTTTATCTAGGAGCGGACAAAACTAATTTTCACTGGTTTTTTCCTTTTGTTCTTCGAACTTTGGATTAACGATTCTTTCAAGATAATCAGCTTTTTCAAGATCTATGTTACTGTAGTTTTCTCCATGTTCAACAAAATTCACTATATTATCCAATGCCAATTCTGGACTCTTCCAGGAATCATTATATCCCACAAGCTGCTGTTTGATTTCTGGGGTTCTTGGAGAAACAAGGGCTTTCAAATTCGTAGAATTCAAAGTGGTAGGTACAACGAAAGTTCTTACTTTATCCCAATTAAGAATATATCTACCATCTGAAGTCCAGCTACCAATACCAGAGGAACCAGTACCTTTATAGTAATGCTTATTACCTTGTTTGGTTGTCAAACGGTGTCTTTTGGAACCTGTCTTAGAAAACCCATACCAAAGCTGACCATCTTTAAAAGTTTGCCAAGGTCTCCTTAAATTGATGGATGCCGTGCTCTGAAAGTTCAATATTTGAGATGCTCTCATTGTATGTGTATAGCTGTGTTCAATTCTTCGACTATTAGATCAAAGACTGAGTGACTACCAACGAAAATTTTTTTCTGGTTTTACTTAATGGTTGGAAAAATACTCACTAGATATGCTGTATGCAGGAATTTAAAAAATCAGAATAATTTGCAGCCTACTAAGAAGAGTTAGCCTATAAGAAGACATGCGCTGTAAGAAATCAATGTAAATCAGTATATAAAGAGTGATACAGCCTATATGAGATACGGAAGTAATGTTGCGAATAAGCTTTATTCACAATTTTGCCTTACGGAATACATTCTGCTTTTCCAAAATATCGATGACTAATTTGCTAAGTCCATAACTCCCTTGGTAACCCCCTCCTCCAGCGCCATAGTTGTGAATGAGCCATTTATACTTCTCATCAAGTTCAACTCTAGCCCCTCCAACGCGGAAAGGTCTAAATCCAACATTTACTTTTGCAATCTCGATCTGAGTTGGATTGTTCTTAAAACCAGGGTCAATTAATTCAGGTGCATATTTTATTGCTCTATCGACAATTCTCCTTGTCAATTGTTTGTCTTCTTCAAAATTAAGATCATCCTCAAGAAAGCAACCTCCAATAATTGTCCCCCCTTCCACTCGTGGCATCATATATAGCATCTCATTCTCATAGCCAGGAAACCCTTCCACTGACATCTGAACTCTTGCATTGTTCTTTACGAGTAACACTTGTCCTCTCACAGGGAAAGTACGTTTTGTATCCGATATTCCCTCTATTGATGTTGCCATCAATCCTGTTGCATTGATAACATAATCAGCAAGCTTTCCGGATGAATGTAATAATAAAGCATCTTTGATATGACGGAGTTTTTCAACTTTCTTGATAGTATTTCCAATCTCTAAGTTTTTCTGCACCAAATAGTTTAAGTATGTTGGAACCGATATTACTACCCCTGTAAACCGAGTGCCAAAAGCAATTCCATCTGGCAAATCCTTTTTTTCGATTGTTTCGAAGTTGTGAACGTAATCTTTATACCAGGGGATTAAATCTTCAGAAGATCCATTTCTCCTCGCCAATTCATACTCAGTGAAGTAGGCAACATTGTCCTTGGTCCATATTCCTGATTTAGGATCAGAGTTTGCTAACCTCGTGAACTCTCTGTATCCCGATTTATCTATTTCCTGAAGCCCCACATCTTCTTTTGTTGCAAATGATTGCCAATTAGCACCCGCAAATGGCGATGTGTATGATTTATCGATGTCGCCAGGAATATGCTGAGCAACAATTGTAACATCTACTTCCCGGTTCCAACGCTTCAATTCTAATGCTGTAGTCAACCCAATGACACCAGCACCTAAGACAACGATATTCAACAGCATTGTACGTAAGAGTTTCGAAGCTATTAGGATGAGCCTTTAGAAGAAAAGAGAAAAACTCACATACTAAAATCCGATTCATCATTTAAATCTTCATTCTTATCAAACAAATCTTTTTTCTGGCCAATTTAGGTAACCAAATTCCGTTTCGGATAAAATTACTTGTTTCATACGAACGGGGGACCAAACTTTGGAAACGAGCAGTTGTAAGAACCATAATACGTCATTATCACATTACACCTTCTATCCCGCTACATAATCAACCAATAATAATAGGAGTAGCAGTTTGAAATGGGACAAGCAATCGAGGTTAAACTCTTAGACATGTTCTTCCAAGTATGTAAGTTGTCTTTAGCAGTCAAAATCTTCAATTTGTCAACTTGAGAGACGAATAAGCTTATAATTAACAGGTCGAAGAATTAAAATTTTCGCCGGAAACACAACTTTCATGTTTGCAAGAACAAGTCTTATGAGATGAAGTTCAAAAATCATAACAATGGTTCGACGTACACTATTTCTTACTAATTATTTGGAAAAGAAGTTGCATAAATTAATATGCTTGACTAGAACTTGTTATAGGTTGGGAAACTCTTGCTCTAGAAATGAAATATAACACAAAATATGGTTGTTTCTACGAAAACAAATTCCAACATAGTTATTTCAGAAAGCAAAATGAATGAATAACGGTTCTATTCGTTTTCTCATGGAAAATAAAACTGTCAGGAGAGTAGCATTTTAACAAGTTTCTTATTGTTGGCTTGTCCTTATGAGAATTTCCATTAGATGCCAAGCATGCTCCTCGTGGCATAGCCCAAGCACAAATAATTCATTCTATTTACATGAAATAAAAATAAAGAACAAGAAATTTTGTAAATTAATTTAATTAATCTTTTTTTGGCAGCCAAGACTTCAGGCGAGGAACATTCCTTATTGTCAAAATTAACAAGATGAAATCTATTTTGATAACCGAACCGTTCTTTAATGTGAATCTATGTGAACAATAGTTCTTCTTTGAATAGATGGGCTTATACATTAATTCAATATCTGAAAGGAAGCACGAGTATTTGTTTCTGAAACTTATGGTAGGTTTCTAGAGGTGGATGAGCCTTATCAGCATTAATTATCAGATTGAGTTCAGAGTTGGTATTAACCTATACATTCTTGATTGAGAAAGTGTCAATATTCCCCCACCACCAAGAATAAACAAATTTTACCATCAAGTGTTAATGTTCACTATTGCCATGTCGTTGCACGATGCTGAAAAAAATAAAAATGGCTGGTTGCAAAAAATTGAGTTTCAACAAAAAAAAAGCTTATTGACAGCATGAATAGAGTTGGAAGAAGTTAAATTAACCAGAAACGTCCAATATAACTCCAATCCAAGAGATTTAAGATCCTTCTAATGCTAGAAAATATTCAATGCAAACAAGCTAACGTACAAATAATGTTTTTGAATGCTCTTGGCATGATTTTATAAGCTCCAATCTTGGCATACACTCCTCTCTTTGGGTTTGATTATAAAAGAACCAAAAGAACCTCCCTTTGAGTTTCGTTCAATTAACGTAGACAAACTATAACTTCTACTAACTATGAAGAATTTGGTAAATTTGCTAATTAGTTTGGTAGCATTGCTACAATTAGTTCTTTCTGACGAGCCACAAGCCACAGTTGTTGTCACCAGAACACATTATGTTTCTCCTCCATGTATGAAATCCCAAGCTGGAAATCTTTTGCCGGGGAATCCAGAGGGTTTAACAGCCGGGATTCAAGTTGTTTTTGTCTATCAAGATAATGTTGATGAAGAACGACAAAGATTACAATCGCTCCAACCAGCTATTCAAGTTGGTGGAACTGCAGAGACCACCACATCCACTGTTTTCAGTGCAACCACAGAACCAACATTCACTTGGCTGCCAACATCTACTAATGCAGAATTAAGTACAACTGAAGAACCTAAAGTTTCATTACAGCCTGTAATTAGTGAAGAAAGATCGGCTTTAGTTAATATTGCCTCTATCACAGAAGCAGTTACTGTCCTGGGAGAAATCACACGTTATAGCACAAGTTCTATTACCTCGGTATCTTCCCTAATCGTTACGCAAATTCCGTCTTCATCATACACTTCCGAACCACCTGCTGCAAACACCGGAGAACCTATTGTGTTTGACTCAGAAACAACCGTTGAACAGGATGAACAAGTGTATGTGACCGTCTCTTTGGATGAAGTTTTAGAAATGTCAGATCCAGAAACGGAAGTAGAGGAAGCTCCATTGGAACCCGTCTTAGAAGATGAACAAGAAGAACAAGAAGAACAAGAAGAACAAGAAGAACAAGAAGAACAAGAAGAACAAGAAGAACAAGAAGAACAAGAAGAACAAGAAGAACAAGAAGAACAAGAAGAACAAGAAGAACAAGAAGAACAACAAGAAGAAGAAGAATTAACAGAAGGACTAGCATTTTGCTACTCTGGAGACTTATTCACAGTTATTTCAACCGAAGAACCTCCTTCAGTTTTCGATAGAAGACCCCATCCAGTATCCCTCCCTCTTGGTGTCGATAATTCCGGTATTCCTATTGGTACTAATAAGTTTTACTCTAATTTATTCTTGGGAAATCAAGATCAAATGGTTTGGACTTATCCTTATGGTGTATTTTGGAGCAAAAATACATACTATGGTATCGGGGTACAACATACTGACGTTTCTAAGAGGAACATGGGTAGTCATAGTACTGCTGGGACAACTTTCGACTATTATTTAAATGCAATTAGACAAAGGGAATGGGTACTTTCTGCAACTTCATTCGGTTTTGAGTCAGTTGGTATGGGTGTAACAGACTTGACAAGTTTATCAGCACTAATGACTTTAAGAGATTCTTCTGATGGCCCAGAAAGCCGTTTAGAAATGCCTTTAGTGCAAGGGTCTGGATTTGTAACAGCTATCTATCACGGTAATTTAGTTCTTAAGCTTGATTCACAGGTTGGGGTGACTGTAATGACTAGTGAAGAATCTGAAGATTTAGAAACTAATATATTAAAGTACAAAGCTGAGTTGAATGATGGATCAATCTGGTTATTGTATCTAACTTTACCTTCTGAAGACACCAACTTTGAATTGATCGACTCTGCTGATGGTATTGTTGCGAATAAGGCAGTCGACGGTTTAATAGTTCAATTAGCATTTGCCCCCGATCGGGAATTGGAAGATTTCTACGATGTTGCTGCTGGAACGTATGTTATTAGTGCCAGCGTGGCGGGTAGTACTAATTGCGATACTGCAGAGTACCTGATAAACTTCGAGACAACTGGGCAATCATCAAGCGGCAACCCAATTGTTTTTGCATTGCCCCATCATCTAGAATCTTTATCCGAACAAACTTTGGCTTGGGCTACCGGTATTCAAATGCAATCACCAACCAAAGGGACTATGGAGGGGTTCTTAACTCAACTGCTAACATTCACCGAAACCATAGAGAGAAACATCCAATTTTTACCATGGACACCCAATTCGAATGAAGCATTGGTATACACTATCGAGCAGGTGCGACTTTTGGCAACGGCGGCCAATGAGGAAATTCGAGTTGATATAGAACGAATGGTAAGGGAGACGGAATCCAATTATTTTACGGGAAAGCTTCTTGATAAATATGCAAACATTCTTTTGGTTCTATTTGACATTATTAGGGATCCAGTTGTCACAGAAGAATTCCTCCAAGGTCTCAAAGATGGCTTTGACATATACTTCCAAAACAATCAATATTTACCATTTATTTACGACGAAACTTTTGGTGGGGTGACGGCTTGTGTCGATTCACTTCCAAATGATATTACAGATTATGGTGCTTGTTATTATAATGACCATCATTTTCACTATGGTTATTTGATCCATGCGGCCGCTGTAGTTGGTTATGTTGATCAGACTTTAGGAGGAACATGGGCTATAGATAATCAGGATTGGGTTAATTCCTTGGTGAGAGATGTGGCAAATCCTTCCGAAAGTGACCCATACTTCCCCGTGTTTAGACTGTTTGATTGGTTCCATGGTCACTCATGGGCAAAAGGTCTTTATGAAAGTGCTGATGGTAAAGACCAAGAATCTAGTTCCGAAGATATCCATTTTGCTTATGGTATGAAACTCTGGGGGAGAACAATTGGTGACTTCTCCATGGAGGCAAGGGGAGGGTTAATGTTGGCGGTAATGAAAAGATCGTTCAATCAGTACTTCTACTTTAGATCTGACAACAAAGTTCATCCTCTTGAAATATAAGCTAACAAAGTGTGTGGTATCTTTTTTGAAAACAAGATAGACTACACTACCTACTTCGGGACTAGAACTGAGTATATACATGGTATCCACATGATTCCTATTACACCAGCTAGTGCATCAGTAAGATTAGCCTCATTTGCTGAAGAAGAATGGGAGGACAAATTAGCCCCAATAATCGATGATGTTGAAAACGGGTGGTCAGGTATTCTAAGGTTAAACCAAGCTTTGTTTGATCCGGAATCGTCGTATGCCTTCTTTGCTTCCGATTCATTTAACTATCTCACTGATTTGGATAATGGACAAAGCAGGACGTGGTCGTTAGCTTTTGCGGCAGCGGCGATTAATACTAGATAGAATCAACTGTTTGAAAATTTTTTATAAATATATCTCTTTCAATTGTAACAATATACGAAATCCAATTTGTTTTTGCAGTCAAAGAAATAACCTCTTGAAGTTTTTTTGTTTATTCATATCAACTAAGAAAGCTATACTTTTTTTTTTTACTCATATCAATTAGGAAAGCTATACAATTTATAAAAACTATACAGAAAAACCTGCGCCCATTGAGTAATCTCAAAGGAGGTTGTTATTGTTTGTTATATATTTGTTTATTTATTCAATTGAGAGATTAAGGCCAAACATGGTTGGTAGCGCCTGGCAACTTGCCATCTTTTTGAATAATTATTATTTCTCCCTACAGAAAAAAAAGTTAATGAAGACAAGTATCACTTTCTGAAAACCACATATCAACTTCTTTCTCACATAATTGAAGATGTTTACGTTTGCAAAGAGACTTGTTGATCGATTGGAAGGGAATCCATCAAGGGATGATTCTTCAATTGATGATTCATATTTTAAAAATGCCTCGCAAATCAATAACAAGGGTTATGCCCTCCGAGTGTTACATGTGGTTCCACACTCAACATCCCATACACATGGAATTGAAGCTTGGTTTGATTACATCATCAGGATCAATAATCATGAATTGCCCATGCTTAATCCTGCCTTGTCTTCATATTCTTATAGTATTAATGACGATGGTACCATTAATTATGGGGGAGCGGCAACAGAAGACCAGGCGGCAGCGATTGATTACGATTTGCTAGCACAGGAAATTGAAACATTGGCCAAACACGAACTGGAACTTGTTATAGATGTATGGAGTGCAAAGGGAGGTATAATTAGGCTGATTCAATTACCTCTTGAGCCATCTTCTGATGCCTCGACCAATGAGGACAAGACAGTTGAAAAATTGTTTGTCAATAGATTCAAGAGCCTTGGATTAACTTTACAATCCCAACATTTGAACACTTCCACTTACGTTTGGAGAATTTTAAAAACACATCAAGGCTCCCCAGCGTTCTTGTCACAATTGGTTCCAAATTCGGACTATATTATTGGATGCGATTCCGCCTTCCCAGGGGATTCAAAAGGAAAAGGTCTTTTGTATAGAGGTGGTGAATCTTTGCTATCAAAAACAGTTATGAATTATTATAATCATCACTATTCTATCGCCAAAGAGGACAATATTCCCATAACTCTCTATGTATACAACCACGATTATGATATACTACGCCCAGTTACAGTTAACTTGAGTCGGAATTGGGGTACAGGGCAACATAGAGGTATTCTTGGATGTGATGTTGGATATGGTTTTTTACATCGAATTCCTGAGGTAATTGGCAAGTTTGAAAATAATTCCATTGTTGAAGATGTTCTCTTTGAAACCAAGCAAGCATTTGCTTATGACGAGAATCAAAAGAATCTACCACAAACCTCATCTTTCGTTGAACCAATTTCACCTTCACCGGTTGTTCCAGAAAATTCAATTAACCAAATTCCACCTGCAATTGTGCCCACGTCAATTTCGCAACCTCCAAGCCCGGTCGCAAGAAGAAAAAAACATCATCCAGTTAGCAATACAGCCCTTAGTGGCTTGAATGATTATATGAATGAAGAATTGGCAAAATCAAAAGAGAAGGACGACCAAGG